CCACGGCCGCCATTTTGAAAACCTATTTCAAACGTTAAGTCAAGTTCTGCTGGGGCAATTGAACTGAAAGTTGGTAGGAATGGTCGCCTCATAGTCCTGACCAAGTGTTGGTATTTTTCGGGTCGATCAGAAATCCAATATGGCCGCCACGGCCGCCATTTTGAAAACCTATTTCAAACTTAAAGTCAAGTTCTGCTGGGCCAATTGAACTGAAAGTTGGTAGGAATGATCAGCTTATGGTCCTGACAAAGTGTTGGTATTTTTCGGGTCGATCAGAAATCCAATATGGCCGCCACGGCCGCCATTTTGAAAACCTATTTCAAACTTAAAGTCAAGTTCTGCTGGGCCAATTGAACTGAAAGTTGGTAGGAATGATCGCCTCATAGTCCTGACAAAGTGTTGTTATTTTTCGGGTCGATCAGAAATCCAATATGGCCACCACGGCCGCCATTTTGATAACCTATTTCAAACTTAAAGTCAAGTTCTGCTGGGCCAATTGAACTGAAAGTTGGTACAATGATCGAATCATGGTCCTGACAAAGTGTCGTTATTTTTCAGGTCAATCAGAAATCCAATATGGCCACCATGGCCGTCATTTTGAAAAACTATATCAAACTTAAAGTCAAGTTTTCTGGGGCGATTGAACTGAAAGTTGGTAGGAATGATTGACTCATAGTCCTGACAAAGTTTTGTTATTTTTTAGGTCAATCAGAAATCCAATATGGCCACCACAGCCGCCATTTTGAAAAACTATTTCAAACTTAAAGTTAAGTTCTACTTTGCCGATTGAGCTGAAACTTTGTAGGAATGATCGAATCATGGTCCTGACCAAGTGTTGTTATTTTTCAGGTCAATCAGAAATACAATTTGGCTGCCATGGCCGCTATTTTGTAAATACCTATTTCAAACTTAAACACAAGTTCTAATAGGCCGATCTCACTTAAAATTGGTATAGGAATGATCAGCTCATGGTCCTGACAAAGTTAAGTTAACATTATACTTAACTATTTTTTACTTAAATTGGTACATATTTCAACAACAAAAATAAATACTGTAGGACTCAGGTGACCGTTAAGGCCCATGGGCCTCTTGTATTAAAAGACTGTCATGGTACATATAGTTACAGCTGAGTTTGTTGTACAATCATTAAATAGTAAGTTGTTAGTACTGTAACAAGATACAGGTTGGCAATGAAAACGGTTGAAAATATCTAACAATCTTACCTAGGTGTTGACTATCCGAAAATGCACTATTTCCGGTTGGTGAACGAAACTTCCGTTTTTGTGATGACTAGTTCCAATCCGACCATCAACTATTTTTTTTCATATTTCAAAAAAACACAAATAAATATCCTCACTATACCTAAATATGAACTTTCCTTTTAGTCATCCCTGGGGGAACCCCAGTGGGGACTATTAATATCGGTTTCAGTCCCAGATTCCGATATCTGTTGCCTTACGCTGTAAAATGTTTGCTGCTGTCGGCATATAACAGGCGCTAATTACAAGCTCTTGGATTTGGATAAAACCTAAAGGCGTTCCAAATTTCACACGGGAATTACATATAACCTAAAGATGTGCCTAGTATGTATCAGGCACCTTTGAATTTCCCGAGGGGTACACTGTTATATTAAAAATTGCTATTGATTCATTTAGATAGTTTATGTCTGACAAACGACTACCGTTAATATGTGTGTATAATGCGCACTTTTTAAGGAAAATGAAGCGTAAAGAAAGGGGTGTACACGGTACTCAAGAACAATCCAAAACCAGTCATTGGTCGCGAACATTTATCGTAGGATTTTTTGGGGATTTTCGGAAATGTTTTGAAATATGCTCGCAGCAATAAACTGCTAAATTTCGTTGAATGACCCCTGATTGCATTGCTAATTTAACAATTACGAAAAGTTGCATGTTCTAAGTCATATTATTCGATAGAATCAGATAAATACATTCTAGTTAAGTGGGCCCAACTTTTCAGGACGTTAAGTTGTGAATTGATAAATACCACATATCGGGAAACATAACGAAGAATTGTATCGCATTTATCACTCTGGGGTTAAAATGTCGTTCTTGGCTAAATCATGATGAACTTTTCAATCTTGACAGTAGGAATGTGTCAAAACGACATGGATGAAGTGGCGAAGTTAGCAAGTTTGTGTACCGCAAAGAGTCAAGGAAGCGTGATACTATTAACCGGCAGGAATGTACAAGGTGACATCCATGCGAATTGAACCGATAATGATAAACGTTTGAATTTGAAAAATAAAATATTGACGGGTTCAAAACAGCCAAATACATTCCTATCTTTTCTTTTCAAAGGAAAATTGCTGAAATCACAATTGATTGGTGTTCTTCATGTCTCGCGAATTCGGCTGTTGGCGGTCCTCGTCGGACCTGTTTGAGTGCCTTTAAGCTTACACACTGCCGATATCGTTGACCGATTCAGTCGGATCAGAAAACTACTTGGAAAAGTGTATTTCATAACAACAACAAAATAAAATATTTATCCGTTTATAAGATTGAATCTTTTCTGAAACTTTACATTCCAATTACCTGTTCTGCCCATGCCGGGTGACCGTGTCAGCGCGCAGATCACACCGTATTCGAGGTGTCAGTCAACGCTTACGTGATATTTGCGACATGCTTTCTTATTAATTCAATGGGTTGGCATGGCTACCTGAACAGCGTGTATGTATTTACACCTGGTCGTTGTTTACCATTTTGATTGATAGGTGGAAATATATCCGTTGTAGCTTAATTTTGGTCAATGATTTTTCGGGAAATGATCATACAGAATAATGGGGGATACTTTCATGTCATTCTGACATATTTCTGGGTTTATTTTGCCCTAATGGCATATCCTGTGTTGACGGGCCGTAAAGCATTAAATAATAATGATAATAGAAAAACAATTTTGTTTAAAAGACGTAATTTTATTCCAAAGCATATGTTTAAATGGATTATGCTACATTTTGAAATAAATTTAACGTATATATATATAAATGTATATATGTGTTCAAAAATCATAAAATGATAAAAACATACAGTAATGCAAACTAAACATTTATTTATGTAATCCATTTGTCTGTTTCGTGTTTAACTATAGCAGGTAAGCTTTAAATTACTTTTGGCCTCTTGTTAAAGGTAAAATAAATGTGTAAATGTTTGTGATGTTAGGAAAATTCCATCAATTCATGAAAAAAAATGTTTTTGCTTGCATTCTAAAGAAATTAGATTACCATTGTGTGAAATGACGCTCTTGCTTGAAATTATTTGATTTACATTGAGATGAAAGAACGAGACTGAATGTAAAGCATGATTATAAGAGAACAGTATTCTCTGAACAGAGGGTTTTGAGGCAAAAAGTTTGGCAAAATTGCTCGAATTGTTGAGGATTGCAACCACAAACACTTTGACCTTAAAACTTCGTTTGTTTTTGAAGCTGATTTAACTGAAGTAAAAGTTTCATTGCTTCAAAATTTGTTTCATTTGCATGATTTGTCATTAAATGTACATCTTAGCATATCTAACAAAATATATAAAACTCATCCCTCAGATTGACTATGATCTCCTGTGATCAGAAAGGTTGAAAATTATATCGATACTTAACGTCTTGAATAATTCATTTGTTTTTTGTAGAAACTTATTTCAATCTCAACGATTTTTCAGATCGATTTTTATAGAAATCAATTTTCATCTCAATGATGATTAAGATGGTCATTAACTTATAGACAACACATTGACGTACTTACGTCGTTATTAGTTAGTATGACTTCCACTTTAAATATTTTGTCCAAAACGCCACGATGATTGATGCGTCAATACATGTGAAGTACAGTAAATCAACCCATGGAGTTATCATCGCAGTGATAGTATCGTAATGAGTATCAATATTTATACTAAACTTCTGTGTTTGGATGACGAAATGGTGATCTTCAAATGGAGACGATTGTTTAATATAGGTGGTATCTAGCCGATTCATTGTTATGTTCATCGCCGATATCATCTATGATCCTATGATAAGAAACGGAATCTGACCCCGACGAACTGTCGAGCCTCGGGACATGGAACTGTGGATAAAAGTAATTGTTCTGCCTTTACAGTCTACGTTCTCTAACCCTGTTTCGGAGTAGTGTTGTTTTATTGCTGATGGTTCTTCTTTGATTGTGTACGTTTTTCCAGCCAATAGTCGAATTGGCTCCGCAAGCACAACATCGCCTGTATTTATGGAATCGTTTTTGACCAGGGGCAACTTACTCCCGCTGTATAGAAGAGTATATCCATCATACACCTCTATATCAACCGTGCTAGGCTCTGTACTAGTTAAAAATGACCCGGTTCCGTATAGTTTCATTGCGAATGGAACCTGAAAGGAAATAGCTTCAGGGTAACATGTGCCGGGCCACACTCCATTCAAAGAATCCTTAAATCGCCAAACACTCTCCCTTGTAGATATAGTATATTTTCGGGCATTTAGATTTAGCCAAGGCACATCCTTGACCTCGTCGTGCATGATGCAGTTGATTACATCCAGTACCATGTCCCCTGGAAGTACTTTATCGAGACACACTTGCTTGAAGAAAAAGTCGGAATCAATTTTCGGGAACCTCACGGTGTGCAGACTATCTCCGAGGACTTGCCGTTTGTTTTCGGGATTGCTCTGAAATGATCAATACACATCGATCTAATTCGAGTAATGGTACTGTAAAGGTAACAACATTTTGTAATTACTCAAATGTCAGTGCTCGATTTATGTTGGAATGAATTGTCTGTACGTATTACTGAAATTTCATGAAGATGACCATATAGTGTACGAATAATTCATGGCATGTCAACCTATGAACTCTAATGTAATTTAGTTGTATATGTTTTTTCATTATAAATGTAAAAACACTTGCAAGTTAAAAAAACACCTGTTTGTTTGCCCAATACAATAATAATGGTTTCGTTACTACAAATAGATTACACTGGCAGCGAAGATGACTGCAATTTAAAAACAAAAATGCGTTTCGTATTTTTTATACGATCCATTGGCACTTTAATTCCTGCAATATGTATCGTAAAAACAGCCCTGGTAACACTATCAAGTGGCTTCTCACCTCTGTGTTCTGACGGCTACATTCAGCTTCCGCCCATCTGATGACGGCCTTGTACACGTCACTTTCATCAGCAGCAAGGTCATCTGATTCCGTGATACTGGTCAAACAACTCGGACATAGGTCAGAAAAGGCCTGCGATTGCAGAACATCTGTTGAAGATTCACTTATCACTTTAAGACACTCGGTTTTCAGTTTATCCATCAAGAAAACATGGGCATGTTCCAAGAACAGACAAGCATTTTCCGCTGACAGACTTTTGGTCAGAAAGTCTTCACAGTTGGTAACTAGAATGTCGACACAGTACTTCCTGGCAGCATTCAGCACAGGTACTACGTTCATCTCCGTCAAGTCGATTGTGTCTGTGTACAGATATCTAAATAAATATAAATATTAGCAGTAGTAAGTTCTTACAAAATATACCATGTTTACATTCACAGTTTTTGTAAAATTTTATTCCGGTAAAGAAACTGTACAAATATTAATTTGAGGAAAATTTGGAGTATGTCAGCCCATTTCCGTCAGATTTGAAATCGCCCTTCGTTCAAAATACACACACATACACTACACGCATGCATCTTGCACACAGGGGAGGCCGTCCTTAAATGACCTTAGCTGTTAATAGGACGTTAAACAAAATCAAACAAACAAAATCGTTCATGGTCCGTTCGTCTGTCTGTCCGTAAACGATTTATGTTGAACCTTTCAGAAAATAGGAAGACCAGTCTCCTATTTCAGAAATAGGTTTTCCATTGTGCCTTGAAATGCATATTAAATTTTTGGGCCTGATCGGAACACAGGGATGATCGACAGGCGGCCATCTTGGATTTTGAGAGTTAAGGTTTGTTGGCGCTATTTATCATAACGTACTGGGGATCTCTTAATAAAAAAAATGCATGAAGATTCGACATTGTTCCTGGTTATAGATATTGAAATTGGAACTTATCAAAAAGAAAACGATTGTTAGCACTATTTCCAGGGAACTACTAGAGGGATGATTCTCAAATTTCGCATGTAGAGTCCAAATAGTTCTTCGTTGTGCATGTTGAATCCTAAGACTGATTGGAAGAACAAAAGGCTGACAGATAGTAATTTGTAATTTTGAGTATTACAGTTCTTAACGCTATTTCTCAGAGAACGGGGAATGTTTCTTTTTACTTTTACATGTATGTCCCCCGTTGTCCCTAGTAGTATACATTTAACTATGGACTGAACTGAAAGCCAAAGACAGAATTTCGAGACTTAACTTTGTTTACACTATTTCTCAAAAAGCATCTGAGAGATTTATCTCAAATTTCATATGCATATTCTCCTTTGTTGTAATTGTGCATGTAAGATTTGGAGACTAGTTAACTGTAAGGTAGCCATGTTGATATTTGACATTGATTGATTGTTCAATTACTATTTTTCCAGAAGATCTGAACATGTCTTTTCGAATTTCATACGTAGGTTTTCATTGGTCGAACGTGTGCAAGATTATAACTGTTGGAAAGACAAGATGATCTTGATCTTGTTTTTTGACAATTAAAGTTTGTTATTGCCCTTTACAAAGACGTCCTAGTCAGATCTTTGTAGGTTCCCATAGGTATTTATTAGTGCTTATTGTATATTGAGACTTATCCGAAAATGAAGATGGCTGCCACGGGGTCCATTTTGAAATTCGACAGTTCAAATCTGTTATCATATTTCATATTTAGAATCCCAATTGTCCTGAGTTGAACCTGTTTATATTTAGCCTGATAAAATAAGGGAACTATAACTGGATCATACGTATCGTGTTTGACACGTGGGTTCGATCTCTTCAAGGGCAAAATGTCAGCGGTCAAATCATCATCATATCTTAGTCGCTGATTATTTTATGACCAGATGGACAAACTGGCAGTTAAACACCAACACGACCCCAGTCAGGATTGGAAAGGGAAATTAAGTGTAAAGTTACTGTGGTTCTTCTAATATCCATATTAGAATCTTTGTTTCCTTCGATGACATTGATGTGTATTGATATTATTCCAACGATCATTGTCAGACTTAATCAACATAGTACATACAAATGTTACATTAATCATCTGAAAATAAAACCCCATATTTTTAGCTTAATTGACTTCGATGTACAGAACTGAACATATCCTTGAAGTTACAGACATATAATCGGATAAAATGGAAGAAATTTTCTTTTACATGAAAAAATAAAAGGAAAGAAACTTCATACCGTAAAAAGTGCTGAAAGACGTCTTCGGTTATATCCGGAATGGCTATCTCCCCTTTCTCGGCCATTGGACCCTCCAACATGGCGTAGAATACTGGGCTTCTACTTATAAGGATCAGTTTGTGGGCAGGTATCCTTTTCTTGTCCTCACCGACAAGAAAGGTTACATCACTAGATGTGCCAGACGTTAATACGTGGTCCATACATTGTGACAGCGTCTTTCCGCTTTGCCAGTCGTTTGGGGTCCCCGAAGTCGCCATTTATGACTATAAAACAAAAGCCAAGACTCAATTCGGCCGTTCGTCAATTAAATAATACCCAAAAATTAACAGTTGAACATTTCACAGAAAACAGGGCCAGCTTAAACTTGAATAATTATAATCTAGTTACAATACGTCAGTGCTTATTAAAGAGAATTGTACGTTTTCATTTTGGGAACGTCCCTCGGTCTGATACACACATACTTTTAAAGAGATATCCACATCACAAGAATAATTCGTACTATCAAAAACAATTGCAATACTTTCTGAAGAAGCTGTGACATGCAAACCCCATAAGGAAAATTAATTATCGAAAGTTGAAAGTCGTCCAGTTTATCACAGAGTTTTCTCCCTTGCAGGTCTGAAATTTGAAATAATACCCTGTAATAAAGAAGCTATTAGCTTTTCTCACCAGTGACTGGAAGGTCAAATGATAGGTGCTGTTATCGAGAGAAAAAAATCCATGTATTATTTAAGCCCATATAGATACACGAATAACTCGTAACTGTGTTAGGACAATAGCAGTTGTACCTAGAAGCTAGATAACGCCCTAAACACTCGATTTGTAAGTATATCTCATATAACATGAAGAAACAGCCTGTCGAGCCTTCGGACAGGGATGTCTAAGGGCATCAATATCATTTTTTCATACCGTAGCGTACCCTTTGTACACTATTGTCAGCGGGACACTAACGGTTATATGATAACAGCCGATACTCGGACTTCGGGCTGGGATATCTATAGGCTAAGGATGCTTCATACCGTATCATACTCTTTGTATAGTATTATCAGCGGTACATTATCTTTAACGGTTCTATGATAACAGCGGATACTTTGGCGTGACCTTTCTCTTCATAAACATTCACATGTTCGGGAAATACATGTGCGACATGTGTGTGAAAGTGACGATTTGTTTCTAAAATATTTCCTTGAAGAGCTACCCTGGCACGGGTCGCTTATTTCCCGCATGTCATAGAGGGCGGGTGTTCTGACGTTAATCGACGCCAGACCGATATAAAAAAGTCGATAAAACGTCAAAATAATTTGGACTAAATTTATACTAGCACTCTCAAGGCAACGATGAAGCGTGACTGACAGGGATACTACTTCCGTATTTGTCGGTATTCTAACTTTACGAAAATTAACATCAACAAAGTTTCTCTATTTCAAAGAAATAGCAATAGCCGAATAATTGTGCGGCAACGGACACCATTTCCCGTTTTGTTGTTTTTGTTCTTATATATACGACTGTACAAAAGTTATATTGTACATGTAAATGTATTCTATACGCTCTTGATACACGTGTAAACCGCAAAACTAGAATCGTATTAATCATTTCGAGAGATATTTTGGGCAATTTTATTTACATATTGGTATGAATTGATAGTATAATTAAATGTAATGGAGAAAAAAGATTAAGGAAGATAAATTACTCCTGTAAAGCATACAAACTATAAAATAAAAAACAACATCTTCAGTAAGTATTTAATTCGACTCTGAGAGCTTGTTCCTTTTAGTGTATGTTTTTGACTATGTAATCTGCATGCTATACACATATTTGATTTGGTCCTGTGTATAAAGGGAAAGGTATATATATTCCATCGATAAATCTTATGTCAGGTGTAAATGAAATATTTAACAAAGGTAAAGGTCAACCGCATCAATCCTGGGTTTAACAGTGGGGCATTTTACCTACAACGAAGGAGTGAAGCCCCTCTCAATCTCTAGTGCCATCTTGTGCAATTTAAGAGTTCATTTTATCATTTTATCTGAACAACCAACCAATGTTCAACCCCCCCCCCCCCGGTAAAAATGTCAATAGGACAGTTTACGAGCAGAGGCAGATCGAGGATTCTAGTAAAGAGGAAGCAATTTCGTCGATAAAAACCCAGAACAATATAGTCAACAGATTAGCACTTCATACCTGGAATGAATCTTGATTTTTCCAGGTTAAATGTAAATATGAACAGGAAAAATATACTTACACAACACATGTCAGAATAAACAATATAATGGCAATTGTAGAAGGCAATACCTTGATATCTTTGTCCGCCTTTTACTCGTCGGGGATGCCCTTCTAAACCGAAGGTACAATCTGGGTTTTTCCAATTACTGAGTGCACTGCGATCACAGGTACCTAATAGTTAATACACCGCATGTGTATAGCACATTTAAATAACAGATTGTGTTGTCATACACTTGTCTATGTGTAGATCATCACCCGATAAGAATAGCATTCATATGTATTGTAAAATGTATCTAAATATTCCTTTCACGTGTATTTTCCGGGTGTTGATAAACTCGGTAGAACCACAGGGACTTGAAAATGTGTTATAGTTCTATTTGGACCTATACTTAGGTGTTCCTTGTCATTTTACACGTTTTAGGGATTAGATCAACATTTGTTAAAATTCCTCCCACAAGGATGATACAGCTGTATTTACGATCGTATTCATCATCTTTTGGTGGCATTTTTATCATTAGTTCATCCAAATACAGCTTTAAAAATGCCCATTAAAATGTGCATTAAAAGCCTAGCTCCACAAGACCCTGTGATGGTGGCGTGACTCAACCTATCGATGGACTCCGAGATGTAATATATACGTCTCTGGTGAACTGTGTTCTCGCTTTACAATATAACCGATATATAATTATTTTATTAAGTACATATAAATACGGGGTCGACACACACTAGAATATGATACTGAGTATAGGTTATATACAAACAGATCTGACTCGGAAGGTTTGTTTATAGTATTTTTCAATGTAAAATGAAATCGTATTAGCACCTCGGCGTGTCAGTTGTCTAGAAAGGAATATACTAGCTGTTTCTCACTGTATGTTGTGCTTCATAAAAACTTTTGTTTCCTATTGTTTACTACACAATACCTCACTTTTGGCCTTTGTGTTGAGCGTTCGCCCTAGTGGGAAAGGCAATGAGTTCTGTCCCCAGGCCGGGACGTATTAATGAAGTCCTTACAAATGGTTGTTTTCTGCTTAACGTTCAACATTCAGGGTTATCACACCAACTGGTTCACTCGTGGTCAGTATAATGTGACCGGAAGGAATACTGTTGTAGTGTGCCGGGTGTGGTATGGTATTTCAGCGAGGTAAAACTCAAAAGTTGGCACACAAACTCACAAACACAATGCAGGCACGCATACATTTTACACATGGAGGCACGTCCTTAAATGACCTTAGCTGTTAATAGGACGTTAAACAAAATGAATTAAATTTCACAGCAATAAAGAAGACTAAAGTCGTTTCGTCAGAAAAGCCCATGAAATGTACAAAATCAATGCCTTAGTACCAGTCCGAGCTACAATTTAGTTAAACTTATCCCGCAATATATTCCTCATTACGGTTAATTTAAATATGTGAATGGATATTAAGTCGTGTCAGTGTATACAGTTATTCAGTAAGAACCACGCCCGGACTCCGGAGGACGTTGTCCTGGCCCAAGGACCAAGAAACAATCTTAGACTTAAGCTTTTGTTTAGCCAATCACGTGTGACGTAACTTTGTAGGACGTTATTTGTGACTGGCTAAGTCAAAATTTAAGACAATGTTAGACTTAAGATCGAACGTTCTATAGCACCGGCTGTCTGCGCGATTCCGCGATTGTACAGTTAGTTTTATTAAATTACTAATTATTGTCATTAGTACTAGTTTGGCGTTCGTCTAAATGGGAAAGACTGACTTATGTCCCCGGCCTGCATCCTCGATAACTAGGAGTTACGTTCACTTTCGTTCTCTACACCCCTTTAATATGTTATAGCAAAAATGAAGGCATGCGGCTAGCTATTTGATTGGTGTCAGGGTAAAAAAACTGACCAATCACTAAGCTGATACCTGTCCTTTGAAGATTGCAAAGGAGCGACTCCCGACTTCAAAGCCTGTATTTTTTACCGGTACGCGACAGCGAGATTCTTTGATGTACATCAAAGGACCAAAGTAGTCTTCTTGACTCATCACCAAGTTGGCGCACATTGAACCTTCATTTTTGCTATGATATATTCTAGGGGTGCAGAGAGCGAAAGTGAGCGTAACTCCTGGATATCGAGGATGCCGGCCTGAGACATTCCAAAGTCCTAAAGAAATGTGGTAGTGGTATTCATTGCTTATCGTTCAGTGTATATGATAAATAATGTAATGGGCTGGAACACTGTGCCGCGGACATGCTATTTCAGCGACATAGCGTCGAAATCAGATATATGCTATACATGTATATAGTCCACATACACAAAACACGTGGATGCACGTCCTTATATAACATTAGCTGTTTTGGGACGATAAACTCAATACAGCCAAACCAAACCTGTTATTTTATTTTTCTTCACTGCATGGGTGTAAAGGAAGACCAATCAGGAAACCTCCCTGCAGAATAGTTGTGCCTCCTACTTTAAGAAATGGAAGTGACAAAATAAATCTACTGCGTCACCTACAATATTTGTGATCCTTTTACCTTCTACATTCCACAGAAGAAGAAAAGAAAGAAAACGATAAAAGTTCCGGGTATTGCAATGGGACAGCAAATCAATTTTTGTAAACGCTACCTCCCATAACCTAGCAATGCAGATGAAAAAAGCAAGACAGAATAAACAAGAGTACCGCGGGGCGAAACAATATACGCCCGTCGAATGCCATATAGTGTTATATACTTTCTTACATTGAATTAAGATCTGCATCGTTTTAAGAATGGTTAGCTGACATGCTATCAAAAAATAAGGAGAAAATCTCCGGACAAAAAGACAAATACTGAAATGAACATATCATGATTATTTAGCCTACTAAGTTTCAAAGAAAACATAAATTTGATGGGCGTATAAAAAGTGTTTACAGGGTTAAAAATCTAACATAATGGTGGCTGATGGGGAAGGACTTTCACTTTAACCAAACAAGCTACCTGGTCAAAGGTAGCTCACTGGCTCAGTCGCACTAGTATATATACACAAAACTAAATTAAGGGGAGGTTATAGTTAAACAGTGAAGTAATCTTGTGTTTTGCCCGCAGAAGGAAATGGATACTTGATGTACCGTTGAATACGGGTTGGCTTTGAAAATAAGCCTTGGATTCCTTACAAACAAATCTAAAAAAAACGTCTTAGAAAGTAGGCCGGTCTTGAAATATGCTGTGGATTCCAGGTAGAAGCCACATTTCCCTGTCGTTCTTAACAGGTTTTTGCAGACAGCCACCACATTAGGTAGTTTATGATCTACTACAGCAATTTGATACATGAAAAAAGAAACAATTTCAATTTCAGTTCTGTTAAAAACATATATAACATATTTTCTGCTCAAAAAAGGACTTTGGCTTAATTATTGCCAACATGTCTTCAAATATAAGACTGGCTTGACAAAAGGCTGGCTTCAAAAATAAGAATGGAATTATTTACTTAAATGAAAATAATCGACATTTTAAAGTATCATATATAATACAATCTCACAAAATAACATTTACTTTAAGATTTAATTGTCATCATATGCACGTGAAATGTGAATTATAATTAAGATTTAAATTTCATCATATGTTATCGTCTTTCATGTACCGCAAGTGAAGTATGAATAATTCATTTAATGACTGAATTGTCATTGCATGTCTGTATCACGTAAATAATTATTAGATTAACATTTTGTGGTATGCAACTGTATCGGATGGATAAGTTATTGTAGGATTGAGCCTGTCATCACAGGCAAGCCTCACATAATTACTGTAGTTTACGATTTATGATCATGTGTAACAGCCTCATAAAATTAAGTTATTTTTGTTTAAGATGTCTCTTCATATGTAAGTCTTACATGAATCTGTTATTTATGGATTAAAAAGTGTTCATATGCAAGACTTGCATTAATCAATTTTATATATACCTCCATAGGTATGTTTCATGTCATATGTAACTCTCTCTAAAACTGTTTTGTTAGTATTTATAGATCTGTCCTCAAACACAAATCAGTTGTTTTATTATTAAGATATTTGTTTATAATAAAAGTTTAGTCACCATAGCCACTTTCTATATTTAAATTGATGTTTGTCTTTTACCTTCGAGTTTGTTTGATGTTAATATTTTGCATTTATTTTTGTCGACCATTTGTTGTCCCTCATGACCTATCTTGTGTTGAGAGGCCGTTAATCAAAATATAATCGTATATAAGAATCTTACGTTAATATTTTGTTCATGCTTTAAATCAGAATGTCTTGAATAAGTAGAACACGGGATGTAGATTTGTTCATTTTATTAAGTAAATGACACATTCATATAAATACAATAAAAATATACATTACATATATACATATTACTATTAAATGCTACACCAAATTCCTTGGTTTTAACGCTTGTTCATCCTGCAACTACAGTAGCATAGTTCATGTGTACAAATTTCCATTTCCATTTTCAAGAAATCTTCAGCAGGTATTTTTCAGATATAAAAAACTTTATATTTATATTAAGATTTTTGTATAAATGAAAACATCGGAAATTTTAATCAAAGTATCATAATGAAGTCCAAATGGAATGTCCTCTCCACATTCAGTTGTATTGTTTGACGATTCCACTGAAAGGCTAACTTCCCCATTCTAGAGCTTTAACAAACTCTTCTTCAGAAAATGACAGCATTTTCGCGGCTTCTATATGCATCTGAAAAAACAGTAAGTGTTTCAATTTTGATTCTCCAATCCTTTTTCCACGAATAAAAATAGCCGAAGAAATACGAGAATATCTTTCAAAAAAAGTGTTCATCTCGAGAAAAATTGAAGTTGCAAATTAATGTCCGATACAAAATGGCATAGGAATGAAAGGAAATTGGACTGTACGGACAGGTAAGCGTATGTACGGCATGGTATTAACAGGTATGGACTTTTATGGGCAGGTACATGTATGAAAATGTATGATAATGAAGCATCAGGTATGTACAGATGAATGAACATTTCTGAAACTATACACGAAAGATCATCTATGTGCTGGTATAATAATGTAATGAAAGGTTGGTAAAAGCATGGACAGAAATGAAAAATGAATAGATAGGAATGGACATGTATAAAGAGGACTTGAGAGAAGTATGGACTGGTTTAAAATGTATGAAGAAGCTGGCCAGGAAGGGAAACATACAGACAGTTGGGATATTGAATGGACAGGTATGAAATTGTATGAAGAGATACTATTGACAGGTAAGAAATTGTATGAAGAGATATAATTGACAGGTAAGAAACTGTATTTAGAGTTATTATTGACAGGTATGAAATTGTATGAAGAGATAATATTGACAGGTATGAAATTGTATTAAGAGACATTATTGACAAGTATGAAAGTGTATGAAGAGATAGTATTGACAAGTATGAAATTGTATGAAGAGATACTATTGACAGGTAAGAATATGTATGAAGAGTTTTTATTGACAGGTAAGAAATTGTATTAAGAGTTGTTATTGACGGTTATGAAATTGTATGAAGAGATCATATTGACAGGTTAGAAATTACATGAAGAGATAATATTGACAGGTGAGAAACTGTATGAAGAGATATTATTGACAGGTTAGAAATCGTATTTAGAGATATTATTGACAAGTATGAAAGTGTATGAAGAGATAGTATTGACAAGTATGAAATTGTATGAAGAGATACTATTGACAGGTAAGAAATTGTATGAAGAGTTTTTATTGACAGGTAAGAAATTGTATTAAGAGTTGTTATTGACGGTTATGAAATTGTATGAAGAGATATTATTGACAAGTATAAAATTGTATGAAGAGTTGTTATTGACGGGTATGAAATAGTATTAAGAGATAATATTGACAAGTATGAAATTGTAAGACGAGATATTATTGACAGGTAAGAAATTGTATGAAGAGATAGTATCAGGTTGGAAAAGTATGGAAATGTAATAAAAACAATAATAATTTAGTATAAAACCTTGACATTTAAAAAGGTGTTGCATGTTTTCCAGTAAAGTAACAAAAGAGATAATGATTTAGAAGCAATTAATATAATAAATACAGTGGCATTTAATACATTACAAATACATTGAAAAGTCATCAAAAGTTGTCATAGAGATAAATTAAAGGCTTCTGTTAAACTATTTTAAGAAAATATTCCAAACATCACAATATCAAAGAGAATGTTTAAAATTTGAAAAAATTGAACACTTAAAATACTTCAAAATCTTTAAGACAATTAAAACTTTAATTTCCGATGAGGTATACAATGTCATGTACATGTACCTATACATTTGTAAGGGAAATTTGTTCGTTTAATAAAATGAGTAGAGCAAATAGGAAGAATACAGAATATTATACAGACAGGAATAAAAAGGTACCAATATTAGCTGAAATCATAGTAGGCGTTTAATTTATCTAATGTCATAGTGCTGAAAGTTGAGCAGTGCATGACATTATGTTAAGAAACATGGAGTGAGTTAATTTTTTAATGAAAATTTTGGTTAAAAGTCTAATCAGAAAATTACAGACAAGCCAAGTTTATCATAATTCTGTAGTGGATACCTTGACCTTCAACTTACAATCTTGACCTTCAACTTTTCTCAAGATATTAACCCTTTCACCACTGAAGACCATAATGGACTCATCCAGATCAATGCATGGTAGAGTCTACTAAAGTTACATAGGGTTTAAAGGGTTAATGTTAGGAATATTAATGATAAAGGTTCACTTGTGCACTCTCTGGATGTGACTTTGACCTTGAATGCATGACCTTGACCTTCATTTGTTCATGATGTCAGGAATACTTGATTAAATTTTTCTGAATTTCGGTTGAAAAGTTTAGGCTACAGAAGGGTGCATGAAAAGGTATGAAATTGTAAGGAATGCCAATATAGTGATGGACAAGAATAAAAAGTATGAAAATGCCTATGGCTATCAATAAAAAAAAAATATTGGACAGAAACAAAAAGGTTTGGAGAGGAATTTAAAAACATATATGAAAATCTACGATATGGTCGGGACAAGTTTGAACAAACCTTTTGTCGTTTGAGAATGTCTATAAGCTTGAGTTGTTTTTTAAAGCCGGCCATGAGTTCATTTTTCTGTTTCTCCAGTCGCTTATTGACTGACAACAGCTGATCTACTTTGTGTTTCTCCTGTTCTGTAGACTCCTGTGAGAATCAAACAAGGACAAGTATTTATTATTTGGAGTCATCTACAATTTCCTGCCTCCGAACAAACTTTGGTATCAAATCTGAGCAAAAGGTTTATCACTCTTCAGTAAAGTTGGTCATGAGACCATGAAACTGTTCTGATGCTCAACTCATTCACCCCTGAAATTTCATAATGAACTATTCCGAACTTGGAATTGGAAGAGTTCAAATGTGTCTTCAGGGGTGAATGAGTTAAACATGGATTCATGTGCTCTAGCCAAATCTCTTTTTCCTGTTATAAATTAATTCAAAAATCGAATTTTGTCCATGGTTTGGAAAAGCATTGAAGAGACTAAAAGTCGAGTACTGTTTTCAATTATATTGTTTTGACTTTTTGATCGTTTGACATGATATAAGCAAGTAACAAGAAAGTTGGTTTGAGCACAGAATCCATGCTTGAGCATGAGAACTGTTTCATGAATATGGGCTCTGTTTTCATGAAACCGTTCTCGCGCTCAAGCGTTGATTCCGTGCTCAAACCAACTTTCTCTTACTACCTTAAATCAGGTGACTTTGTCAAAAAGTCAAGTGAAAAGATTGAAAATGATATTTGGGTTGAGCTGTATCAAATGTTGTATACCATGTCTGAACTTCTTCCCAAATGTAACAAGATGTGATTGTTTATTGATTTATTAACTGAAAATGGGTTTGTGCATGAAATCAGTTTCATGATTACAGGCCCTGATTTAAGTTTGTGATACTTTGCTGTGTCCTCAAGGGAGACGCCATTGTAGGTGACAGAAGTATATAACATATTCCCCAGAAAAGTGACATGTTGACAGGAGGACTGACATACAGATGGACACCATGCTCCAATCCAGGATACCCCCTTACTTTGCTGAGGGGGAGTGGTGTATAACAAGATAAACTGAGCAAGACTTACCATACTGTCATGGACAGACTGAATGACAGACGGGACAAAAACAAGACCCCTTGTCCTTGTGCTCAACACAGGGGGGGTGTATTTATCATTCGGTAATTAATAATGCGATGTAATAAAAAACCATAAAACATTCAATTTATAGCTCGTTTAAACTAAACTAAGGTGTCACCATGACAATTATAAATCGCTACAATTACAGTTTTTGGGGGGGGGGGATGCAAAATGCATAGAATTTCAACAGGTCCCCCACTTTTTTTTAATAATTTCATATATATCGAAAAGGACCATTTTTAATTTAGAAAGGACCACTTACACTGAAATAGCACTACTATCATCAGAATTTTGATTATTTAATATTATTGAGATCAGCATTTATACCTTAGAGGATGATTTATACCTTAGAGGATGATTTATACCTTAGAGGATGATTTAGACCGTAAAAGTTGCTCTTTCTGTTTCTCTATCTCCTCCAACGCTCGATTGAGTCGGACTTCTGTTGCAGACTGGCTCGACGATTGCTGCTTCTGACTTCTTTTCATCTGCTCAAGTTCCTGGAAAAAGCAATTCAATATGAACAGTCAAACTGATGCTTACTGTCAAAATAGAATCTAGAACTCGGATAATGCATTGTTTTGGATCACTTGTAAAGTATTCAATAAATAGTAATGATTATTATTTCAATTATTTCGTACAATATCAATAGATGTAGTTTTTATATTAATTTTTTTCTCAAACTTGTATCACAGAGGATTTATGTACCATTTAGTTTCAATGGAGAGTTACCTGTAAAGGGAGACAACTCTTGAATATTATTTTCGCTTTTGTGGATTCTGCATGATGAACTTACAATTTAAAATTGATGATGATCAACAATTCTTTTCCATTTTTTTCAAATATAAGTTACTTTTCACAAAGTTGTGTTAAAATTTTACAAAGCTATATCCCTTTTTTAGTTGTTCAATATTCATAACCTTTGCATTAACCTTGGGACCCTGTAGCACCAACTCATCCAGGATATTCTCATATTTGACATATGTATACCCTTTGATTAACTCATTCACCCCTGAAATTTCATAATGAACTATTCCAACCTTTGAATTTGAAGAGTTCAAATGTGTCTTCAGGGGTGAATGAGTTAAAATCTGTTACGGAATAAAGATAGTAAATTGTTTCAGACTAACAGAGCTCTTATTTGTAAAGAACCACAGCACACCTCTGAAAGGTGTCATACCTTTCTGAGAGCCACAAGCTGAGTTTCCGAACTTTCAGATTTTGTCCTTGCGTCCTCCGCCATCCTCTTGTACTTGTCTATCTGTGTCTGCTGTGAGGCGTTTGTCCGGTGAAGTCTCCCACGCTCATCCTCCAGTTCCTTGATCCGGCTATTGACACTGTTATTTTCTTCATCCTTCATTGGTGAGAAAAAAATAATTTTAACATCAATATTGATAAACTTTATACATGTACTGAGTCAAAGTTATTTTCAACAGCCGAGTCGGCCATCAGGTGAAGAGTGTTGGACAGTATACAGGACTACCTGCATCTTGGGAAAATTGTGTGAGATCCTTAATTTGGTCTTACATGGTTGATACATGTACGCTATTTATTTTTGAGCAGTCTGTGATAATATAATCAGTTGTTGGTGTTACATTTAGTGTTTGTTTGTGAAATGAAACCAAAGAAAAATTGTAGAAATATTGGGATATATCATTTTTTTTTTAATTTGAAAAATTAAGAAATATACGTTTTGTACCTGCCTTTATGTAGAAAAAATAATCAAAATAATTTTATTTATTTTGTAACAAATATAAATGAAATTCACTTTAAAATAAACTCCCTTTTTACCTTTTTATTACAGTCCTGTGCCAGTCGGTCTAGTTCCTCTTGCATCACTCGTAACTTGGCCTTCAGGAAGCGGATAGTCGCCTCTGTTCAAGCCAACATAAGGGATATTTATGGTAATATGAAAGACTGGTTGGTGAGAGGTGTGAAAAAGAACACAATCTAAAACAAAGTATTTGGGCTTATATCCATTATATTTGACTGAATTGACCAGAAGTTATCACGGGTTAAAGAATTTTCCAAGGACCATTCAAATTAAATAAATCAATTGAATTTACAGAGTTGCTGGGAATAAAACGTTGAAATATTCCAACCAAATGTAAGACAAACTCTCTCAATTTGAAATACTTGCAATACCCGGTATCTCATATACATGTACACTCTCAAAATATTTTTTAAAATTATTTTACAGCAATTATGCAGCATGTTATAAATTAATACTAGATCACTCCTGCTGGGCCGTGGGAGAAAAATGGATTGCCCAGAGAAAGACCACATGGTCAGTAGGTGACCATGTAATTTTTCATATCTGATAAGGGGATCAAACCCCAGCCATCTTGTCAAAAGGCGAGTTTGCTAACCACAGCACCACCCAACTTTCCACATTAATTCATTGTCCTTACATGTTATACTTGGGTCACCGTGGCCTTTAACGCTCTCACCACTGTAGACCATAATGGACTAATCCATATCAATGCATGGAAGAGTCTACTTAAGTTACATAGGAGTGAAACTAGATAAGCCTGGACAAGTAGTGGCAAACACACATAAAAAACAGTTCATGTGGCAGTCAATCAGGGACGAAACATTACTGTACAGTACAACCAATCGCAGAACAAGCTGTGTGATTGTAAATTATACCCAACTTGCATCACATAACTCCATTTGTGCTTTATCAAGCTTAAATTTACAACTTTACAAATTAGAGACAGATGTTATTGCTTTCAAAAGTCATTACTGTATACTGTATCGGGAATTTTTCACTCAGTCAAATTTTCCCCCAACAATAAAATTGCCGTTATTATTTAATTTCTATGTATATTGTGTCGTTTAGTAATGTTCACTGAAATGATACATTCGCTCTCATCACGGAAATGGAGAAAAAATAAACCGAAGGGAAAAATAACCGGTATATTGAGAATAATACAGCAAGTTTTATTCTGTTTATTACATACTTACTAATAAAAGCTACTATCTTATGATCTATTTTTCTTTTGAAATATTGAAAAACAAAACAAAAATCCAAAAGGGGTGTGATACAGGTTTTGGGGTGTGATACGGCGGGGGCTGATACAGCTTTTGCGGGCTGATACGGAGAGGGCTGATATGGGTTTTGGGGTGTGATGTGGCGAGGGCTGATATGGGTTTTGGGGTGTGATACGGCGAGGACTGATATGGGTTAGAGCAATTGTGTCGTATCGCATATACAAAAAACCTGTATTTATTACTAAGTATGTAATAAACATGTATAGAATTAGAGTGGTCATACCTGAGCCCATATCGGCTGCAGCTTGTGGAATGATGTCATCCTCCTCCTCCTCATCATCATCCGTGTCGAGGCGTTCTTCTATGTTTGTAATGGTATCGAGTATTGTCTGTTTGGAGAATTCCTTACACTCGGTGATAAACGCTTCCTCAGGGACTGCCACATTGTCAGACACATTGGACTTAGCACTGCGACCCCGTGATCTGTACACCAAAATATCAAATATTTACTCTAAATTACAATTTACGTTAACAGAAATATCCTACGTGTTGCTCAGTTGTTGAGATTCTGATCAAAATTTAAACCTAACTAAAAATGTATGTATGCATACACAAAATAACCCTTTAACCAACGTATATTGAGTTGTTCTTTCAGATGAAATAATTAAATCTTAGAATATACTAGATTTAGCAAATCCATTGGTTGAAAACAGTAAATTTAAGGGTCCAAAGTCACAAGTCTCCCTGCTAAATTGGGAGAGTTCACAAGTATACTAATGAAAAAATGCATGTCACATCCAAAATATTTTTTTTTACCAATGGTACTAGTATGTTAAATAAAAGATATTTTTCACATGATATTTGAATTATTTTATTCATTTGTGAAGTGAAATAATTAGGGTGGTGGACCAGAACCAGATTCAGTGGTGTTGTTGCTCATCATTTCTATTTTCACAATTAAACACTGAATACTTATCAGCTATTGTTCCTTTTGCAAATTAAAATTCTTGCAAAAGTTTGCCTCAGGCCTTGTCATAGTTACAGCAATGTGGAATTCAATTTTAGCAGAAATATTGACATTTTTGTGATTACCATATGTATATATATGAAAAATATTAAAAACGGTTTCTGATGCAAATTTAATCCTGAGCTTAACATTATTTGTTATTCAAAATAATGAATTTCAAGGTAAGTTTGTTTTTGAATGAAGATATGAATGAAGAGGAGTACCTTATATCTTGTTCCGGTTATAAATTAATAACAAAACGTTATTTCGTCAATGATTTGGAAACAATTTGAAGCGACTTAAAAGCTGATTACCGTTTTCAATGTTTACATTAGACTTTTTTGATCTTTTGACACGATAAAGAATAAGTTGCAAAAAAGCTGGTTCGAGCACAGAATCCATACTTGAGCATCATCAGAACAGTTTCATGACTACAGGCCGTGGTCTGCTCCTCCTCCCCACACCTGGATAGGGATCCAACGTAAGTGAACAGCAAGTTTTAGCGAGAATTTGTGTCATAGATTTGACACGAGAACGTACCTTGCTGAACCAGTCTTCTTTGTTTTAGAGTTCGGTCTACTTTGTAGGCCTGAATTTGGTCTGCTCTGATTGGCTGAAATTGGTCTATTCTGACTTGTTGAACTTGACGAACGATTCTGATTGGTCAATTTGGAGCCTGATCTGGACTGCGGCTAAAAAATATAGATGACAATCATGAAACTTGTCTATATTACCATCTATACAACAAGGAAATCAGTCACCTACAAACACTGGAGACAACCCAATTAAACATATGTTCCACAACCACAACACATTTTGTTCTGAACCCTTTTACCCCTAGGTAACTTTGGTAGACTCTACCATGCATTTATAAGGATGAGTCCATTATGGCCTATGGTGGTGAAAGGTTTAATGTCTAGGGGTGTACTATTTAAGTACCAGTAAAAGCCAATTCTTTACCCCCGGCTGAAATTTTCCCTGCGGAAAAAAATCAGCTGTTTCTTTCCCCCACTAGATTTTTTCCCGGAGGAAAAAATATAGCTAGCCTATTTCCTTCCCAGGGAAAGAATCGGCTAGTTGATTTTTTCCCCGGGAAACTTTCAGATGGGGAAAGAAATTAATGACTTCTACATTGGGGTATATAGCCTGCAGGCAGATTTTGAAATATTTGACTAGCCCATCTATATTTTTATAGAAAATATTGTAAAAACGTTCACCAGTACTAACATACTTTTTTCCATCACCTTCAAGTTATAAACACAGATATACCGTAAATTTGTGCGTATAGTGCACACTTTTTTAGGTAAATATTGTCATGTCAAAAAGAGGGTGCACACTATACACAGGAACAGTCATTCTTGGGTTATCGTTCTCGAGTTTCATGTCCGCCATATTGGATTACCTCCCTTCAAATAGTTTTGTTTGGAGTCGTCGGTCATATATGATAGATTGAAGATATAAAATCAACAAAATTTTAACCTACTCTAAAATGATTAAAATCAGTAATCTGTTGTCATGACTGTACCTATATTTCTGTACACATGACATCTAAAAAATGAATTTGAAAATTTGACTTGAAATATAAATAATCTAACTAAAATACTGACAGATCAGCAACCATGTGCCATGCCCCCCCCCAGTATATTTTCAGTAACAGTAACCTTAACCTTAAAAAAACCTGTTTTTAACCCTTATTTCCCATCTACATTACACAGTGTTTCACCATGTCAAGTTTCAAAAGATTAGTGTTATGATTTCCGAGATAAATTCTGGGAAACAAAAGCAGGAACAGGCGGACAGACAGTGTGATAACTATAGGGCAATATTAAATAAATGTTCATATATACTCCACCAAAATCAAGGAGGACAACGACTTGAAAATCAAACCGATTTTACAAATTTCACTCTCACATACCGTTAGTGATGATCTGTCGTCTATTTCTTCATCATAGTCACTACAAAAAGAAAGTTAGAATTTGTTAAACAGATAAAAGTGAATGATTCTGTTAGGAAACTTTCAAAAGTTACAGAATTTTTAGAACAATGTCTTATAGAAGGGGTTCTTGTATTATGTTGTTATAACAATAAGTAATATGTAAAACTTTTTTCACAATAATTGATTCTTCCATTTATTTTAATAATTGATCTATATACAAGGATCTGACGTGGACAAAGAAAAAAAAAGAATAATGATTTACAAAATTATGATAATATTCATCATACAATTGATAAAAAATTGATTGCCAGAGTTTCGGGGTTGACACTTTGGAGTATTTATAATCAGTGTACTTGTTATTGCAGTCGTCAAAGTCTTTGATGTGAGGCCAAAAGACAAATTGTTTCGAGAAAACCAAGGATGAAAAGATAACAGAGCAAAAATATGAAGAATCAAAATTAAAAGCCATACAGGTACATTACATTCGATTTAAAGCCTCATGAAAACATCAAACATAATATATAGATATGTTGTAGTTCTTACTCAAGGAACTCGTCTGTGTTGATGTTGTCTAGCAGACTGGACTGGGAAAACACTGCATCCTGATCTTTCTAAAAATAGAATCGAAATCAATTTATTTCCAAACTTTTCATGTATAGTCCTGTATTTATACCTGACACAATAAATATATTACATCACCATTGTTTCATCCAGTGTACCAGACAAAAGTAGTACACCTTTTCGTCACTGTTTGATGAAGACAGCGAAATTCCAACCCATGGGGACAGACTGTAAGATTTGGTTTGTCCAGAATGACCAAGAATATATAGAGGATATTTAATGGCGTCTTCAGTAACAACAAATATATTTCACGAGTGTGGCTCATATTTGATATTTTTCACAGTGAAATATATCTGTTATTACTGAAGACAACATTGAATTTTCTATTTATTACATTTTTAAAGCATAAAACATGAAAAATGTAAAGCATTAAAAAAGGGTGGGAATCAGAAGCTTAATAATTAGCACCATATTATAATGACGTCATGCTAGACAACAAGGCTGTGTGCCATTTGAATGGGATGTCAATGCAATTCCGACATTTACTGCTATTTTCTGGTATGATTGTTTATAAAAATGTTAACAATTGTATATTTATGTAAATACTTAAGTGTGTACCAAACATTTACCATAACAACCTCTTGTTCTACCGTCGCTTCATTTGAATCTGAACAAAAAATCTTTGCCTTTGAATGCAGCGAATAGAAGATATCGTTATGATTGGTCAATACCAAAAAGTGATATTTTCATAGTGTGAAAATATCACTTTTGATATTTGTGACAGTGTGAAAATATCACTTTTGATATTTGTCACAGTGTGAAAGATATCAGTTATATCAAGTTGATAGAATTCTATATTTTACTAGCAAAAATGTAATAAATCAAGAGTCCTGGATACTCAAAAATATGTTACCAGGTCTTAAGATTTCTCTGGCTTCATCTTATACAAAAATAATTAATTATTTTGTTCATGTCTGCCATTTTGGACAAAATATCACTGAAATTTAGCATCCAAACAGTGTTTCAGTCATAACATTGTGTTGTGTCATTTGAGCGTAAAATCACACCATTTTGGTTGCACGGCACTTAAATACATGTAAATATAATTAGTCAGTCTTGCTTGTTGGCTTCTTGAAGGAAACACAGATGGAGTCTTAATGTTGGAGGAAACCGGAGTTCCCGGAGGAAACTGGAGTTCCCAGAGAAAACTGGAGTTCCTGAGGGAAACCTACATGGTGGGGAAGGTGATCTTATATCTTTTCACATCAAAATAGAAACCTAACTCTGGCTATCGTGTACAGTACTTGCAAGCTGTCCAAACCTAAGGTTGACAGCATTTTCTAGCACTATCAAATCCCTGTCTGACGGTCAAGAATATCATTTCTCCCTTATTAGACAGAGATATTAACACTTCCGGTCAAGGAAAGATTTATCTGTCTTACCCTAGGGTAAAGACGGGGGGATCCCCCTGTCATAACGATTGCATGACGTCACATCAACGATGCATTGGCGTCAGGTCCACAATACAATGACGAAATTATGAAATGAATGTTTGCATTTTGTGAAATTTCCGCTTGTTTTTGATGTGTGAGAAAAATAATCATTCCCCACTTTGGGAGTAAGTCAGAAAACTCTCAACCCTCAGGATAAGATTCTTAAATGTCTTGCCCTCAGCAAAGCATCGGGATAGACATTTAAGAATCTTACCCCTCGGGTTAAGATTTTCTGTGTTACAGCCAAGGTGGGGAAAGATGATATTAGTCTAGAATATATATATATGTACCAGGTAGTAATAACACATAAACTATCTATTTGTTTGCTGTATAGTCTTCTTGACAGTCTGGACAGCAAGTGATGACATGGTGTTTAAGATAAATACCCTCCTCGATACTCCAGGGGTTATGTTCGCTTACATGCTCTGCACTACTGGAATATGTCATAGCAAAATTGCAGGCTCAGTGTGCACCACCTTGTGGGTGAGACAAGAAGACTTGTTTTTATCCTTTGATTTACATCAAAAGAATTTTGTGGTCACCTAACAATAAAACTGACTGGCTTCCAAGTAGGTTGTCACTCCTCTATAGTCTGTAGTCTCCACAGGACAGGTAACAAACAGCCTAGCAATTGATCAGTTGTTTTTACCTGAGACCAATCAAATAGCTATAACCGTATGCCTTCAGGGGTGCAGAGAGTGAAAGTGAGTGAACCCCTGGAGTATCAAGGATGGATAAATACAAACATATTTTTTACTCTTCAACATCTAGCATGGATGCTTTTAAATTTATAATATCAAAGGAGTTCCTGGAAACATGATATGTAAAATTTATGTACCAGGTAGTTGGGGAACTCAGCAGCTATACCGAAACATTTGATACCTAAATAGGGAGGGCAATCAACTTGGCCTTTTTTCACAGAAAAATAAAATGAAAAATTTTAATGGTTAAAGATTATAGTGAATTACTATTACTTTGGTATATATTGATTATAATAAATAGGGAATATTTTGATTTAACGATTAAAATTTCTTTTACTTTATTTTAAACTTTTTTCTTACCAATACTTCCTCCGCTTCTCTGACAAGGTTCGCAGTTTTTGCCTCTAACTCAGCATTTAGCCTCCTACAATGTGATAAACAGAAATCATGGAAAACAGTTTCAACTTGTCACAAACAATTGATCACTAGATATTAGGGCTGCAACGTGATATCGTATTGTATCGAATCGCCATACTTTCTTGTTTTGTTTGCCTGTAACGCAATACAGTAACAGTACTTCAATCATCAATCAACTTTTATCAACCTCTGAAAAGTGTATGTATATCTTTTGAATTCTTCAGTAAAGATGTGGTCAACTGTGCAGTCATACCGATAAGTTCTAGAAATTATACAAAATTATATTTTGATAGTATTGAACTATTGAAGTCTATGACAAAACTAGATACAATCATTCACTCAATCGTTATGAAGTTGACTTTTTAGCAACTATTTGTATCGCGATACGTATCGTAAGCATCATACCGCAATACATATCGTATTGTGAAGTATACCTTTCCAATGAACCTAAAGATGTTAAATAGAGAATAATACATGCCTTTTCCCATATCACACCCAGTATCACCCCGAGACTGCAATATCAGCCCGAGGGCTGCTATCGGTCGAGGGTTGATACTGGGTGTGATATGGAAAAGGGCGTGTTTTATTCTGTTTATTACATTACTTACTAATAAAAGCTACTATCTTATGATCTATTTTTCTTTTGAAATATTGAAAAACAAAAAAAATGCAAAAGGGGTGTGATACGGGTTTTGCAGGCTGATACGGAGAGGGCTGATGTGGGTTTTGGGGTGTGATACGGCGGGGGCTGATGTGGGTTTTGGGGTGTGATATGGCGAGGGCTGATATGGGTTGAGCAATTGTGTCGTATCGCATCTACAAGAAACCTGTATTTATTAGTAAGTATGTAATACTACTTAATATCTGTGGAAACTCTCACATTACTTACTGAAGTGAAGTTCACAAAGAAACTGGCAGGACTTTAATGAGAATATAGTATAGATGAAGTAAACAATATGCAATCAAGAACAGTGTTCTGAGTATAAAAAGTTCAGTGGGATCGACTGGGGTTCAAACCTTGGACCTCAGGCTGTTCGACTATCCCTGTTACCACCGACTGAGCTAGCTTGCCAATGGAAGTGTGGTGGCCCACTTGTACAAAACATCTCAACTCTTGAGATTTCCTCAAGTCTATGATTTCCCATAAACAATACACTGCTTGAGACTTCCCTTAACTTTGAGATGTTTTATACAAGTGGGCCCCTAGCCTGTTACCACTGACTCAGCTAGCTTGCCAATGGAAGTGTGGTGGCCCACGTGTGCTGCAGTTACATCCAGAACGAAATTAAGGTGGGGGGGGGGGGTTACTGCATATAATATATACAAAAAAAAGCATGCAGCAGGACAGGGATCCAGATCATTAAACATTATAAAACTTTTTAAACTGTATAGAGGATATTAATAGAATCCATCCCTGATGTAAGGTATGGATAAGATTATTCAAACCCAAGGGATAACATATCGAGCAGGAGACCCAAGGCTTTGCCGAACTTTTTCTGCTCAATATTTTATCCAGAGGGTTTGAATAACCTTATCCTTACCTCACATCAGGGATGGATTCTATTTCTTGCTTATTACCTAAAACCCGTAAAAATAGCTGCTCTTCTAGTAAAGTTGTAAACTCTCCGCACAAAATGACATCACGAACAATAGCGTGACCCCGAAAGGTCACTATAATTCCCCCACAAGTCTGCGCGTGTAAGCGATCTAGACCCGTGGGTCGGATAGAATTTTCCAGCACCGCTAAAAATGCGGATATCTCAGTCTAGTATGCAAGAATAACTCAATCACCCCTGAAATTTCGTTATGAACTATTCCAACCTTTGAATTGGAGGAGTTAAGATGTATCTTCGGGGGTGAATAAGTTTAGTAAGGATTAATTTTTACAGTGTAGAAAGAATCTTTTTCTAAGGTTTATAAGCTCCAGTGGTATACACACTCTGTTTTACTTACTTGTACTCTTCCTCCTTACTCTGTATACTAGAGCTGTTTCTCCCAGACGTCAAATTGGTGTTCTTCACACCACTGCCTGACCTCCGCCCAGGCTTTGACTGTGGAAAAACAAAAAAAAAGACTTTATTGTATTGCATTGTATTGTCAAGATTGGTATTTGACAGGTGTAAATATGGTATTTTTGTATGGGTAAATACGGTAGTTGTTTTTCTCTATCACCGGTTATTATGTAACAATGTTGTTTTGATTATCCAAGCAAAAGGCATTTATTTTCATAGCTAGGTCAGGTGTATTTTTGTTCGGTGTGTTTGTGAGAACCGGATGAAATTTGAGACATTGAGGAGCGTGGCTCTCCAGCCCGATGCTCTACCGCTAAGCTAAAGGGAAAATCCCTACAGTTGACGCTTGTAAGGCAACCTAATTAATCCACATCTTTAACACTATTCCCCCCATTTTTTCAAACACCAACCCAGGTTCTTTGACTCACCGCCAAGGGTTCTCCTACCTTGAAAGGGGAGGGTCAACGGCACCAGTTTGTAATAGAACGAGGAAAAGTGATAAAGATAGTGCCGTCGCTGGGGCTCGAACCTGCGACCCTTGGCTCTCCAGCCCGATGCTCTACCGCTAAGCTAAAGTGAAATTCCCTACAGCTGACGCTTGTAAGGCAACCTAATTAATCAACATCTTTTACATAAATATTGAAATATCAGACATTATGCTATTGTAAACTAATTGATCTAGTTTAGGTTAAACGATGAACACCTCAGTTACATATTTAAGTGATCATAAATCGGATTTGTTTCTGTAGTTTGATTTAAAATCTACAGCTTTTACATGAGTAACGTTTCACTATATTCAATAATTCATTATTTTTTACACAGAATAATTCCAAGTGTGTTTGCTGATGTGGATGAGAAACTTTTGTTCGTTGAACGTTTCAACAGTGGTTTAAATTGCTACTATACAGTAACATTATATATATATGTTATATCATCCTGTTTACATGCATCGAACATAAGAACATTTGAGGGGGGGGGGGGGGAATAAACGTTGTCGTTAAAATATTATGCGATACAAACTGTCTAGTTATCTAAAGTCCCAATATAAGGAGACAGCATAAATATATTTGACGTGTGGCTTTCTTCATAGATTAACTTACGGCGCTATGTCGCCCTGAATCGGCCATAAATGTTGTGATGAATCTTCTCCTGGGGAAAATATGAACCGACAGAGAAGTGGTTGCGATCGTAAACAATGTATGTCGTAAAATTATAGTTGTAAATAAACTTTATCCTATTCTTTTTTATTGTGATTTCTATAGATAAATCATAAAGAATAATTTGTAAGATACTTTTGTAATCGAAGTATTTCTTTTTAATTTCGCGACAACCACAGCATACGTTAATTGACGCATGCGTACTGGGATTATGTTTGTGTATTTTCACAAAATATTTTGACGAACATGGCGCCATGTGCTTTGTTAGTGTTTATATCACCTGGATTTTTTTCTCGAAGCTAGTATGAATCAGCATTATATAGTCTCAGAAAATGTAAGATTTGATGTAGCGAATAACAATAAGGGAGAATCGCTTAAAAATGCCAGAATCGGAAACCTGGCCATTCTGACAAGCGATGTCATTCCAGCGCGTGCCAATGTTTACATCCCTGAAAATGACAGATCGGAGCTGATAAATGGAGACACTCGTTGTGGAAGGGAATCGCACCCGAAGGGCCGATACAGTAATATCGAGGAGGGACTGGAATCTTCCGTGAGGTAAGCAGAAACATTAAAATGTCAATCCAAAATGTTCAGACAAAAAGTTGTCTGTTATGAAAAATCCCCATATTCAATATTCACAAAATTTGCACCAGAAAATTAATCAAAATAATTATTTTGGTCATAAACATTAACGATTCGACATGTCAGTATAGAAGTTTATTTCGTTGTTGTTGCTGTCATGTGCATGTTTAGTTGTTTCAATTGCAAGTGCAGTTATAACTTATCAAAACATTGTGACCTATTACTGTCCTCACAGCCAAGTTCATATGTTGAAACTGGGTCACGAGGTCATGACTGGGGATGTCAAGTAGGGACACCAGTTAACAGTTATTACACTTCTTATCCAAGATATCCTACACTTTAGCGCTATTAAATGTGCACAGACCTCTATAAGTGTGGTTAACATGTGCAAAGTTATGGTTTTGAATTCAAATTTATACCAATGTAAAGGGAAAATCCTGAAATTTGAGAGCAGAGGACCATTTCAGCAGTTTTAAGTCAATAAAATAATTAAGAGAGGACATTCTGTGCATAATTAAAAAAAAAATGAACATGGAGGAGTCCATTTTAGTTCTGAGGGGTCAATGGCCCCATGGCCTGGGCCTCCAGGATTATCCCTGAATGCATATTATATGATTATGAATAACTACTGTACTCATTTAATGACTGTTTACTTTTTAAGCAATGAAGCTAAAGACAGAATCAACAGGATTGTGGTAAGTTCAATCAAATAAAATGACTAAAACCAGCAAAATCATAAAAAGCAGATATAAATTGAATTCCAAATTCAGTAATTTTTTAATTTGATATCAATGCAGCAGCTCCATTTGACATACAACAATGCTAATTTTAGATATGTTGTCACGTTCAGTCGTTCTTTAGAATATTATATACCTGTGTTGGCCTAGTAACTGGCATTTCAGGCTTTGTCGCCAAAAACAAAACAAATTAGTACATTAAACATACAAGTAGGGGATCGAGACAATTCTAATTTCTTTGTATATTAATTTTTATAATAACTTCGTTAATTTGAATATCTTAAACATTCTTATCTGTTATTTAGATTAGAGTTGAAAATTTTTGCATGAATCTGGGGAAAATATTTTGAGTCCTTCACCTGAGTCCAGTCAATATTATAAAATTTGAAACCTATGTAGGGTATACGTATAAGTGGTCGACATATGGTCCTCCATTCAGAGATGTTGACCAACATGTCAGAGAAATTAATATGTATATATATGATTTTAGTGGTGTTCCGATAAACAGTTTTGTTGACTTTTGGTCACAGTTATACAAAAAAGTTGATTAAATTAAAAGCATTGAAAATCATTGATCATAAAATTTCAAACGATTCCCAACTGATGTGTGTTTATTTATAGGGAGATGTGAAAAGTCTGTCTGATGTGTTTATTTATAGGGAGATGTACATGTGAAAAGTCTGTCTGATGTGTTTATTTATAGGGAGATGTGAAAAGTCTGTCTGATGTGGAGAAGTTACTGCTGTATCTACGACTTCCTACAGGAGACACGAGCAAGGATCTCCGACAGTATGTAGCATCAGAAACACACAAATAGATATATAGTCTTAGAATTTAAGATTAGTACACCATGGACAATAAGTCTATGAAGTTTATATATATATTCTTATAGACCTACTAATAATTTTGGATAAACCAGATTTTAATTAAGAAAAATAATTGCCTGTATATTTATAGTGTTCAATAGCATAAAATAAAGAAAATTGGTGGAATATATAAGGAAGGCTAGTAATTTCACAGAGGACTTTATTTCTCACTACCACACTTACATGTATATAATTATCATTGAATCATATTCATCATATGAAATAACTTCATATACAACGAAGTCTAGGAAGAGATGTATTCCCATAGACATATAGAGTTTTACACTGTTATTATCTATGGTTTTAAATTTACTGTCAAGTTTGAACACTGCACAATTCTCATTACATCTGATTTTTACAAAACAACCTGAAACTAGATTCATAAAAGTTTGATGGAATATATGTTTTTCTAATTTTTATCAAACAAATCCTAAGTGTTAGAATGAAAATATTATTTTCTTGTTGGCACTATATAGTATGTACTACACAATCCTATTTTCATTTTCTGTTCAAAGTAACTACTATAGGGTGCAATTTAATTTGGCAAAAACTGATGTATGATCATCCAACAATATATTACTTCTACGTCACATGTGTTAATTAAGAGGCAGTGGTTTTGTTACTTTAATTTTACAACAGCGTGTATGTATGTTCCTGGATGAATTGGGAATATATAGCATTAGTTGTATAGAGATTGGGAATGTATAGCATTAGTTGTATAGAGATTGGGAATGTATAGCATTAGTTGTATAGAGATTGGGAATGTATAGCATTAGTTGTATAGAGATTGGGAATGTATAGCATTAGTTGTATAGAGATTGGGAATGTATAGCATTAGTTGTATAGAGATTGGGAATGTATATGAATTCCTCAGCTTTTGTCATTTTGGTAAAATAAGGCACTTTTTAACTATGATCAGCCTCGATATATCCAGGGGTTACGCTCACTTTCACTCCCTGCACCCCTGGAGTATGTCAAAGGAAAATTGAAGGCTCAATGTGCAGCACCTGGTGGGTGAGACGAGAAGACTAGTTTAGTCCTTTGATATGTACACATTAAAATAATCTCGTGGTCGCGTAACGGTAATTATTGACAGGCTTAGAAGTGGGGCGCCGCTCCTTTGTAATCTTCAAAGGACAAGTATCAGCCTAGTGATTGGTCAGGTTTTTTTTACCTGACACCAACCAAATAGCTAGCTGTGTGCCTTCAGTTGTGCTATGACATATTCCAGGGGTGGAGATCAGAGCAAAACCCCTGGATAGCGAGGATGAGCTAGGGTAAATGGCTGTATTCGGCACTAAAACTGAGCAAAATAAAAAACGCTTGGAGGAAATAATTTGAAAGTGCCCTGTTTCTGTTAGTGTTTGATTTATATATATATATACATGCACCCAATATTATATGATACATATATATATTGGTTATCACAGCTAGTGATCCAGGTCTAGAGAAGATAAGTACAATAACTGGAAAGTCATTTATCTTTTGAATGGCTTTAAGTTGGATTCATAGTCAATATTTATGCCAACTTGAGCTAGTTCTGGAAACAGCAAATTTCATGGCGGTGCAGGCACTATAATGATAATAATCATATTTTAAATGATTTTAAACCTGAAAATACACTTTTTTTTTCAAACAAGGTTATCAGTTTCGATTCAATATGCAATATTCCATCAGCAAGCAACATTCAGAAATAGTATGGGTCATATGAACAATTGTGCCTTAAAAATATGTTTTTCCCTCTTTTTTTTCAGGACACCAACATCATGTCTGCAAACATCCAATCGAACAGAACAGGCACAAGCATACACCTGGATAAGATCTCACCTGGAGGAGGATGTGGAGATCTGTCTCCCCAAACAGGAAGTTTACGATGATTACAGGTAGGAAAATATATACAGGTGTTAATGTATTCAGGTAGACTCTGTAGCTGGTAGGGAATGTTATAATATACACAGGTGTTAATGTGTTCAGGTAGAATCTGTAGTCGGTAGGGAATGTTATAATATACACAGGTGGTAATGTATTCAGGTAGAATCTGTAGACAGTAGGGAATGTTATAATATACACAGGTGTTAATGTGTTCAGGTAGAATCTGTAGTCAGTAGGGAATGTTATAATATACACAGGTGTTAGTGTATTCAGGTAGGATCTGTAGTTGGTAGGGAATGTTATAATATACACAGGGGTTAATGTATTCAGGTAGAATCTGTTGTCAGTTGGGAAGGTTATAATATACACAGGTGTTGATGTGTTCAGGTAGAATATGAAGCTTGTAGGGAATGTTATAATATACACAGGTGTTAATGTATTCAGGTAGAATCTGTTGTCAGTAGGGAAGGTTATAATATACACAGGTGTTAATGTGTTCAGGTAGAATATGAAGCTTGTAGGGAATGTTATAATATACACATGTACAGGTGTTAATGTATTCAGGTAGAATCTGTAGTCGGTAGGGAATCTTATAATATATATACACAGGTAGTAATGTATTCAGGTAGAATCTGTAGCTGGTAGGGAATGTTATAATATACACAGGTGTTAGTGTATTCAGGTAGAATCTGTAGTTGGTAGGGAATGTTATAATATACACAGGTGTTAATGTATTTAGGTAGAATCTGAAGTCAGTAGGGAATGTTATAATATACACAGGTGTTAATGTATTCAGGTAGAATCTGTAGCTGGTAGGGAATGTTATAATATATATACACAGGTGTTAGTGTATTTAGGTAGAATCTGTAGTCGGTAGGGAATGTTATAATATATATACACAGGTAGTAATGTATTCAGGTAGAATCTGTAGCTGGTAGGGAAGGTTATAATATACACAGGTGGTAATGTATTCAGGTAGAATCTGTAGTCAGTAGGGAATGTTATAATATACACAGGAGTTAATGTATTCAGGTAGAATCTGTAGCTGGTAGGGAATGTTATAATATACACAGGTGTTAATGTTTTCAGGTAGGATCTGTAGTTGGTAGGGAATGTTATAATATACACAGGTGTTAATGTGTTCAGGTAGAATCTGTTGTCAGTAGGGAAGGTTATAATATACACATGTACAGGTGTTAATGTGTTCAGGTAGAATATGTAGCTTGTAGGGAATGTTATAATATACACATGTACAGGTGTTAATGTATTCAGGTAGAATCTGTAGTTGGTAGGGAATGTTATAATATATATACACAGGTGTTAGTGTATTCAGGTAGAATCTGTAGCTGGTAGGGAATGTTATAATATACACAGGTGTTAATGTATTTAGGTAGAATCTGTAGTCAGTAGGGAATGTTATAATATACACATGTGTTAATATATTCAGGTAGAATCTGTAGTCAGTAGGGAATGTTACAATGTACACAGGTGGTAATGTATTCAGGTAGAATCTGTAGTCAGTAGGGAATGTTATAATATACACAGGTGTTAATGTATTTAGGTAGGATCTGTAGCTGTTAGGGAATGTTATAATATACACAGGTGTTAATGTATTTAGGTAGGATCTGTAGCTGGTAGGGAATGTTATAATATACACAGGTGGTAATGTATTCAGGTAGAATCTGTAGTCAGTAGGGAATGTTATAATGTACACAGGTGTTAATGTATTCAGGTAGAATCTGTAGTTGGTAGGGAATGTTATAATATACACAGGTGTTAATGTATAAAGGTGAAATTTAACTTTGCTATGTACATGTGTAACTAGTATTACATAGCACACACATATATAATAACCAGTCATTAAAATGTCCTATAGATCAAAAATTATATGTTGACAATGATTTTGCTTTCTACTTTCCTCAGGGGCCTGTGCCCTGTGACTTTGGGAAAATATCACATACAAAAAGCATGATTTTGGGAAAACAAGTTGATTTTGGTATTGATTTTGGGGAAACAGCAGAAATTTTGTAGGGGAAAGGGCCTATATAAGGCCCAACATTCATCCTGAAAAATCTCTTGTTGAACTCTCTAGATATTCAATATAAATCAACAATAATTTTGGTTTTAAATCATGTATTTTATCATTTCAGAGTGTACTGCGAGAACCATGGCATCCGTCCGTTGAGCACAGCTGACTTTGGCAAGTTGATGAAGTGTGTGTTCCCCAATGTGAAACCCAGACGCCTAGGCCAACGTGGACAGTCCAGATATCCTTTGAGATCAATTAGAAATGTGGTCAGGCCCCTCATTTTTATGGGACAACAAGTCCATTACCAATTCAAAAACAGACCATATTGCACAGTTTTAAGTTAACCCTTGACAATTGATTATTTCAGAGGTGATATCAGCTTTTTCCCTGAAATTTGAGGCGTCAAACAGACATGCCCTTTCACACCCAAGAGACCAAGCACATTTTTGGGGGGTCAAAATATGCTCTGCAAGGTCTACTGAAAACCCTTAAAATACTTCAGATAATAAGGGTCCCTCAGACAATTTTTATAAAAGAGACTCCAATTCTGTTTGTTTAATTCTAAATGTCTCTGCTATGGTACAGTAAAATATATGAAGTATGATGTGTGAGGATACAAACACATAATCTGCAACAAAGGACACCTACACATATTCATTCTTTCCACACACAATAACACAATGGAATCTCCTTCCCATAGCAGCAGTACAATGCACAATGCTAGAGGACTTCAAGGCACACTTACCCTATGCAGCCCTTGAAGCCCTCATCACATGCTAAAATGTACGCCAACTTTTATCTTTTATTTATACCTTGCACAAAAAATCACAAAACCCCCCAACTTATCATTGTAAATAACCCCCTTTTTCACGCCTCTGTGTTCGCTTCACATGATACTCGAAAGAAGGTGTTGCAGAATATCTAGATAGATAGATAGATAGATAGGACCCCCGAGGCATAACCATCACACTTGATGGAGCCCATATACCATAAGAAGAAGTAGGATAAACAAGTCTAATTAAATGTGCCCTACTCATCATTTTCCAGCGCTTTGAGTCCTTAACTATCACATTATATACAATAATTGTCCTGAACTCCCTTCAGTAAAATTGAAACTCAAATTTTCCTTGTCTTGACAATATTTAATGCAAGGTCAGGTTAATAAAGGGTAAACTTTTAAAATAGAATTGTATTAAAAATTTAATTGTACTTTGTCAACAATTTAGTGAAAATGTGAAGAGTTTTAATTTTGTCAACAATTTAGTGAAAATGTGAAGAGTTTTTATTTTGACAACAATTTATGTACATGTATGTTGTTGGATATGCTGCATCAAACGTATGTGTTCTAAGCTCACCTTCCCTATTAGTGGGTGAACAAGGGAACGCTTGGTGAATTCTGCTTCACAATGATAGAAAAAGCATGTCAATGAAAGACAAACAAGAGATTCCACCATTGTACCATCTTCATTAGTTCTTTGTCAGTTGTTCTTTTTGCTCTTCTGTCCTCTAATCTGTTTGACCGAGTCATGTTAACAGTAAATGCACCTTGAGGTAACTTTTGATCTAAACTTAATACTGATGTGTATGAAAGCCAACCTTCAAAGTGAGTTTGTCAATTCACAAAAAGCAATGCTACTATGAACGCTTGGCTGCCACAAGCCAGTAATCCCTGTGGTAACTTTTCTGACACCTCTTGCTTAAAACTCTTAGAGTCAAAAGGATCGATAGGCCACGCTTTCACGGTCTGTATTCGTACTGAAAATCAAAATAAAGTGTCGGAGCTTTTGCCCTTTAACATTGCCACGATTATCCTTTACACTGCTCACATACTGTTACGGTGGTCTGCGGAAGAAGTTAGACATTGAGGCACCAGGACTTCCCGACCTGGAAATCAGTCCTCACAAACAACAGGTATGTATAAACTACAGGTACACAATAAAACCCGAACCTGACCCCTAAGTATTCCGACATCCTGTCCTGTCAGAAATTATGATGTATTTTTTCCCCACAGCCGTATGTAAAAATGTCATCTTCATTGACAAAACCAAGCTAACAAGACCCAACATCCGTATCAAAGTCTTCCAAATATTAGGGTGTTCTACCGCGGATGGTTTCTTTTTCTTGTTCCGATATCAATACATGATATCTTCTATTCCGTCTTTGCGTATTGCAGAGTTATCTTCTCTTGTGAGCAAATATTGAATGTTACGTCATTGGTTTGTGTGAGATAATTACATCGTTTTCTCAAAAAATGATGATGTTACTTTCGCAAAAATGATGTAACAATCAATACCTACCTGCTCACAAGAGCAGATAACTCTGCAATACGAAAAGACGGAATTACTGTGCACTCACTCAATTTTAGGACTTGATGCCTTTTCACTTTTGGTGTTAAAAACATGAAAGTAAATGACTCCAATATCTGAAACAGATAGCACTTTTATGTCTGGACTCAGGGCTAGAAATTAATTTTAAAAACCACTCGTCTGTCAGGCTTGTAGTTTACAGTTTCAGCAGTCCGTGTACAAATTACCATTACCCAATATTATTCAACATGATAATTAATATCAAGTACTTTTTTTATATATATATATATATTTTTTTTAAATATTTTATTCTCCCAGCCATTTTTTTCATAAATATATATATACATATATACTGCTTCGAAGCAGATATATATATATACATATATAAATATTTTGATAGGGGATGCCAGGATTGGGGAGCCCTGGAGTCAGCCCCTGAACAATATTGTGTCGTATTGACTAGTCAATGGGGCTAGCAGTTTTTAGAACCACTAGTCCAGCTTGAGATTTCACTAGTCTAAGACTAGTGGGCTGCCCTTACTGTCTAGCCAGGACTGTGACGATACTGTTACAAATGATACCAAGATATGTACTTCAAAACTACATTGTGTCTCAACTCTGTATGATTTTGTTAAGTACTTTTACTTTTAATCATTCTAAAACAGGATACAGGATCAGAGGATGATGAGCTGTACGCCGCATCGTGCCAGCTTGTGTGTGAATGGGCACAGAAACTCCTGGAGCAGAACTTTCCGAGTGTGCGGGAACTGGCGGAGCACCTGGTCAGTCACCTTTACGTCAACAGCAAGTCTGTGTCAGCCTTCACCGTGGTCGCCGGAATGCAGGACACGGGCATACAGAACATGAAAGGTATGTAAAGACCACACAATCAATACATCTTAAAATTAAATCAATGATTTATCATGAAAACATGGTATTATATAGCAACTTTACAAATAATATTGAAAATATTTTCCATATTGGGTTTTTAATGACTTAATTTGTAGGAGTTTTGATTCAAAAGAATTGTTTTTTTTTGGCCTGGCTATAATTTTGTAAGATGTTGGAATTAATGTATTTATATTAATACATTTGAGATGTTTGACTTTATGACTCTCAGTGACAATTCGTGTGTGTCCTTTTCTTTCCAGTGTCGTCCATGTTTTCCAATACGACGGGCGGAGACCGACACAGGGAGACTCAGTTACAACTCCAGAGGAAACTGCACGAGCGTGAACAGCTACGGGAACACAAGAAAAAACTTCAGATGCAGAAAGAGGAAAATGAACAGAAAGCAAAAGAGGCACAAGATCGCATGACACCATCACTTGCCTCCCCTACATTGCTCCGGGCACTTACTTCTCCTGCCAGAAGAATATTCGACAAAAAAGACGAAGATTCCGGTCTGTTCCGCAATAAATCCATTTTGAGTGGAAACACAGGGAAGTCAAAACAACCTGTTGTCGATTCCTTGAGAAGTAAATCTTCCTTGGGGAAGGAGAAAGTTATACAGAAACAGGAGAAAACTTGTCAGGATATGGACGTTGATGGGTCAAGGTCACCAGCCAAAAGTCAAGGTCAAACAAACGACCAACTCCGAGTGGAGGCTATGGATACTGGTAATGATGCACCGATTCATTTGGCCAGTCCAAATCCACTTGATGGAAAAGAACATACGGACATGAAGAAGATATTTACGAAGTTAAAATCCTCTCCAGATGATTCTAGGAAGCTGTGTGAAGTAGGCAGGGAAGAATGGAACATATCATTGATGGGCAGAGTTCATTCAGCACACCAGATGAGAGACACTTGGAATCTTGGTGAGGAATCTCCAACTCGCACCTTCCATACAATAATGAAACCTGCGGCTGTGTCTCAACATCGCCCACACAAGTCTGAAAGTGATATACAGAGGGTTAAGGTGACGGGCATGACAGAAGAATCGAGGGAGATAAGTCTGTCCCCAGACGTTGTAGATGAAAAGATCACAGAACAAAGTCCGATAGATGTTTCGCATGAAATAATTCCAAACTTTGATGTCATGGAAACTGTGGAAATTACGGGAAACTCTGACGAATGCCTTCATTTGTCTGTGTCTTCCGTTTCTACATCTGTTTCGTCCTCCGTGTCTTCATCATCAGTGTCATCCAGAAGTGCGTTTGTGCCTTTTTCACAAATGAGTACACGTAAAGAAAGTGACATGCTCTCAATGAAAATTCCGTCCTCCACATCGAGTCAGATCAGTTCCATTGTATCCCAAACTGATGTTCATCCCAAAACAAATGTCTCAGTGAGCTCATCAGAGTCTGTACAATCAAACATGTCGTCTAACATACCACAATTTCCGTCCATTCCATCCCACGAATCTCAGATCTTTGCCTCAGTGGAGGGCACCGTGAAACCTCCCGGGAGTTTAAGTTTAAATTTAAATTCTCCGGGGAGCAATCCTGTGTCATATCCAACGTGTACCACAGTCGGACTCCTAGGTGCTATGTCAACTGCGTCCGATATTCCAACCTCACAAGCATTACCGCAAACATCACCGTCAACACCAAAAAAGACCAAGTCACGATTTACTCCAATCCGTCCGAAAGCTTCACCTTCAAAGACTGTCTCAAATATACTCAAGGAAAAAAGTGCAGAGAATTCCATTTATAACAAGTCCAAACCTGTTGCCACACTTCTAAAAGAGAAACGGGCCCGAGAAGCAGAAGTTTTGGCTCAGTCTCAGATAAATGGAGGAGTGACTCTCTCGCCAGGAGGCATCAACCAGGCTAGCTCCGGCGTTCAGATACAAAACATCCAAAATATCACTGCATCCACATTACCCAAATCGTTGGAGTTGAACAAGCCTGGAGAATTTTTCATCATTTTGAATCCGGTCAGTAAGATGTCTGTTGTCAGTCCTGTATCGACTGTCACCCAGTCACTTCTCTCCAACTCCGCTACCATGACGACCAGCTCCAGAGGTAAATCAGAAATGAGCAGAGGTCAAAGATCAGCAAATCCAAGTCGTAGTCGCACAAACTCTTCATCCGAGTCTGAAATTGAAAGTATCTTCCCTATGGGGAAAGAAAGTTGGGGCGTGACATCCGATTCAGCGGAGGAAAGTTTCACAGATTTGAATATGGATGAAACTCCTTCAAAATTGGTAAAAATAGACTGTGACCAAGGCGTTTCATCACGACCAGGTAGTCGTTGTTCTGTCGACAGAGAAACGCCATCATTTGGACGGAAACGAAAATTCTATACGTGTGGGAATGTTTCTTATCATAAAAGGATCAATTCTACTGATGATACCGACGATGAAGTTGTCATTATTGAACAAAAAGAGAATGATAAAGATTCAAGACGGGCGAAGTCTTGTTCGCTGGATCAACAAGACCAAGACGAGATCATGTCACCCGTTAACAAAGAGAACCTGAACAATACCATTGACAGTATACATTGTCCGGACATTTCAATTCTGGAAATAGATGCGTTGTCAGACAGTGGATTGGATTCGGAGCAGCTCCAGCTCCTGTCCGACTCAAAAACACCAAAATCAATACCTCAGACACACTCAGCCGCAGTGGGAGTCAACTCCTTACTGTTGCGGCACTCCCAACGAGAATTACTGAAACAGAAGGAGGTGCTGGATGAGCGCATGAGGTCTTACTGGAGCAAGGAGAGTAAAGTGACCACTTTTAACAAGTCTGATGTCGTCAACATCCAAGTTCACAGTGAACTGCCCCAGGATGTTGCTGATTTCATAACCGACGCTCTCACTGGTATTGCCAACACCAGTATAAATGAAAATGAGGACACGAACAAAAAAGGGAATGGAGAAATTGAGATGCAACATTCCAGGCCGCAGAGTTTGAGTCGCGAAAAGAAAGCTAACGGTCCAAGAATCACCAACACCGTTACCAGTCGGAACTTTCTCCAGCCTATAGTCACCTCACCTTTGATGGCAATGTCTATGAAAACTCAGAGGAGAAAAGATTCTGTCCAAGACAATGGTCAAGAAAAAGGACAAAATCAGGAGATTTCTACCAAGACTTCTGTAACAATGTCCAATTTCGCGAGTCCTCAGCGGCCAGTACGTCGACAAAGGACACCGTCTATTGAACGACTTCTCGGACCAACTGTCACCCCTGACCGGCATGTCCAGCTGCAATCTCCTCTGGACCAAGGGTTGACCGGTCACAGTGATAAGGTTAATCAGTACATGTCGGAGCAAGGCAAGGCCACCACCCCTACCAGCTTTGCCAGTCCTGTGCATCCTGTAATGCAGAGGAAAAGAGAAATGTCGGTGGATCGTATTAGTAACCAGACACCTTTTTCGGATGCAGGATATGGTAGTATTGGAGCAAGTCCCATACAGACGTCCACTCCAGTATCGGGTCTGGGAGGCATCTGTGATATAACTTTGAATTCCACCTCAAGTGCTGGCTTCCTGATGAGCCGGCCCGATTCAGTACAGAGCTTACCCAGTGACACTGTCATGCAAAGTCCAGTGCCGCCATTTTCACCACGTAATTATACATCTACACCACTCACCGTGCGCTCGCCGTGTTCCACACAGAACAGCAACCCTCTACAGAGCCCGCTGGGGATGGGCCCTCCCACACGCGCCTTCATGCCAATTCAAAGTTCCTCTACCCAGAAACTAGAAACTACTGTTACACTTATCAAACCGACAGTTACTATGGCCAGTGGAAATGGGGGCGAGGCGAAGGAGATCCTAAAAGATTTAATAGGGATCGGAAGTATTCAACCAGAACAACGACAAACTCGTCCTCCACCCTCATACAAGGTGGCTGTGCAGGCGCTTACGTATTTACAAGCAGAAAACACGGAGAGTTCTGGGGCTTTCAATCGTCCACCTAGCGGACCAATTGACTTTCCGATGACAGATCTGGTGTCACCTACAAAACATCAGTCTGTGATTGGCATGATGGGAAAGAACAATGAGGCACTGCCGGATTTAAGTCTGCAGTTGAATCATGGGACTGATCCTGGTCAGCCAGATAAAAGTATTGCCAATGCGTACCCTTGTTCATTCCAGCTGGCTCTCATGTCTCAGAAGTCGAGAGAAGACGGAAAAGAGGCTGCTTCGGGATCAACACTGTATCGGTCTGGACAAAAGGGAACAACGTCTGTTTCATCTGGAACTCTAATGTTAAATACTACGGCGTCTCAATCATCTGATGGTCAGGCAACTGGTCAGTACACAGAACCAATGGTCTTAGGCAAATCACCATTACATATGCTAGAAGGACCGAGAAGTGATCGTTTTCCGGAAAAAATGGTTTTCGGACAGTCGTCTTTACAGCAGCCGGAGGGATCAAGAGCTGGTCAATACATGGATGCAATGGTTTCAGGACGGCCAGCTCCTCAACACCCTAATTCTGATGGTCATAGAATAGGCCAGTTTGAAGGTGGTTCTGTACAAGGTGTGTTGTCCAAGGTTAGTAAACGACCCACTTCCCAACAATCTGACCATTCTACCCGCAACCTATTTAGTCCGGAAATCCAAGGTAGAGACTTCATGTCTGGAGGCGTAATGGTGCAAAATTCAAAAGAAAGAGACATTGAATCCATCCTCAACATCCTGAAGGAACCAAACCAGCCCTCGAAACACGCCGAGAAAGGTAAGCAAGGAGGGATTGTCATGAAAGTTCAGACAGTGTTACCCAATGCAAATTATAAAGGTAATGCTCCGAACGTGAACTTGACGACAAACCCTCGCATTTCAGAGAAACTGCGGCCGTACGTCATGGACAAAGTTATGACTTCAGTAATGGACGACGTCGAGTTCTCGGCACGACGGAACCTGATGCCTGATCTTATGGAGGAACCAAGTTCTACTGAAATAAACGAAGAGGAACTGATGTCGACACTGGAAGACTTGCGTTCCGTCGATGAGAAATATTTCGTCCAAGATGACTTCAACTCTAAAAGGCTTTGAGTGAATAGAATTATTGTGTGAGCTTGCATTTGGTCAGTTGTTAAAAAAATATATAAACATATATATATACATACTTCAAAAAATTTAAGGTGATAGGTTTATGATTGAATCCCTGGCTTTTGCATCTTTTTGTTTTGTTTTTACGTGAGTGACTCAATCAGCAGTTAGCCATTTAGTTTAAAAATAGACAATTTTACCCAAAAACTTATCTTCAGATTTTATCCTTTTTTTTTTAATTTTCAGCTTGTTTTTGAAAAGAAATGCAACATAAAATATCTCAAATAAAACAAATTGTAAATAAGAGTGATTAAGTCTAACAGGAGGAGCGCAAATATAAAATTATCAATTTTTGATATATTTCTGAAAATTTCAAATCTGGTTTACTGTGCTACAATTTTCCCTATTCCCAAGCCACGGGCCCCATTCCAGAAATAGTGTAGAAAAACCTAAGCATGGTAATTATGGACAGTTGGTTTAAATCATAATCGATAATCAATGTGTAATTGGAAGTATTAAACTAATTGATAATTGATTTATTGGTTTATAAATTTATGGGACTCGGTACCCAAATAAAGTGACAACATTATTTTTACTTCAACAGACAGTTGTAAACTGAATATTAGGTTTCCTTCATTTATAATGAATGGATTATTTTTCTACATAATCATTAATCATTTGATAAAAGCTATAGAGCTATGTGACTTGCAAAGGGTTCTTGACATTGTATACAGTTGAGACTTGAATTCAGTTGTGAAATGGTTATACATGTGGGGACCGCGGTGGCAAAGTGGTTGACTCATTGACCCCTGAATTTTCACAACGAACTATTCCAACCTTTTGCATTGGAAGAGTTCAAATGTGTCTTCAGGGGTCAATGAGTTAAAACAACAACCTGGCACTTCCTTAAATGACCATAGCTGTTATTAGGACATAAAACACAAACAAACTAAAATTTATGCACGTAATAGGAAAGGTCAAACCGATTTATATCCGATGATAACCATCAGTCTTTTGCTACCTGATCATAAACCTAAATATCTGGTATCAAATTAAATAGTGATTTGTGACGAAAAAAAATGAATATTTTTTAACTGAAATTTATATAGAGGAGAGGTGTGTTTTAATGTTAATTGTGGACGTAGCATTATTTCCGTACATTAGCATTTTATTTTTAATCTTTAATTTTATAACAAGAACAAAACTATTCTGGAAATCTGACACTTTCATTATTTAAAAACAACATGTGCATGCATAAAAATTGTTGATATTTTTTCATTTTATTTAAATAAATCTTTCATTTAAAGCTATTTTGCTATTCTCGTAAAGATTTTTAACTTACTGGTTCAAAGAATCAAGCTTGTACAAGTTTTTATTTTACGATAATGTCAAATTTATCATTTTTTTACTGTTCATTTTATATCCATAACAATGAATTGCGCAGGTTAGATTTCAGCATATTTATAAAGTATGCAATTATTTATTGGTGACACAAAAACTAGTGTTTGGTCCATTGAGTATTCAAATTGAGAACATTTTGTTGAATGTTAAAACAAACAGAAGCTTTTAATTAAAAGCATAAAAAGAATTCTATAGAACATAAACTTTTGATCGGAATTTATTAAAATTATTTTTGGACTTTCTAAATTAGTGATTGATTACAACTGTACACTGAATGACTAATTTGAGAGTTTTTGTCCTTGAAAGGACCATAAACAGAGTTTTCAGAATTAAACGTGATAAGATATTTATTTTTAATCTCATGAAATTGTCTCAGACTTTGTATACCTCATCAAATGGGCATAGTCTACAGTAGTCTAAATGCATTGTCTTTTGATTGAATTGTAAGAAAAATGCAAGGTATCCACACATCAATTATTGAGGTTTCACTGCAGATCAATGAGGTGCGAGTCATATATTTAAACATGTTTCATAACAACAAAAGCATACAGTAGATCATTTAGGTTTTGTATGATATTTATTTTTTACATGGAATATTTGTCACGATTTTAAATCATCATGCAAACCTTGATGGAAATCCTAATAAATTCCTCCGAAAAAATTAAGTAAAAAAAAAAAAAAAAAATTTTCCAAGAGATTTTATTTTATGTCAATTTTACAGTAATTTACAGTAGTTTTATCTAGGTGCTTCAGTGTATAACATTATAATTACAATAAAGCATTTTTTTTTACAAATAATTTATGATAGTATTTTCAATGCTGCCTTAAAGCTTGTTGAACATTTTTAATACTCAAAATATTTACCCCAACAGTGTTGAACAACAAACTGATAATTGTGTATTTTTTTTGTGATGAAAGCATGTAAATCTAGCAGTAATTTGATCGTTCGTCCTTTGTCACTGAAGCTGGCGTGCTAGTTTATACACTGTAACGGTCTGTCTAGTCACTTGTTACTGACTCGGGTAGAAGGTACTTGCCTTTGGTCTCGACTGTAGAGGACCTAATAAGTAATATGTAGTCCTAAAATCTTGCGTCGGCTATAACTTCCAAAACCAACCATTGCAGTTGGAGTTATTCCCCCTAGTATGGTCAAGCTTAAATTGCCAATGTATGGCTTTGCGAGACATGAATGGAGGGAACATTGCAGTTAGAGTTATTCCCCTTAGTATGGTCAAGCTAAAATTACCAATTTATGGCTATGCGAGACATGAATGGAGGGAGCATTGCAGTTAGAGTTATTCCCCTTAGTATGGTCAAGCTAAAATTGCCAATTTATGGCTATGCAAGACATGAATGGAGGGAGCATTGCAGTTAGAGTTATTCCCCTTAGTATGGTCAAGCTAAAATTGCCAATTTATGGCTATGCAAGATACACATTAAGGGAGAACAAGTGTGAGATTTATGGCTCATGTGGTGCGAGACGCGTTTCAGCGTCAGTTATAGGATGTCCCAGTGCACGGTATTTTCACGTACCAATCCTGCCTAAATTGTATCCTTACGTGGGCATTTGGAAAAGTAGCATTGGTTACAACAGTAATTTCTTTCCTTCCTAAGAGCATAAATCCCCCAGTGTTAATACTTAAACTACACCATCAGAGGCTTGTGTGAATAATATAAATATTGATAACTTGCATCACTTATGATGAATAAAGATTTCAAATTTGCCATTTAAAAAAAGTTAAGATCATTCTAAATTTAAGGTCAAATTTGGGGAAAAAATGATTTTTTTGTATCACTTAAGGATCTCCGAAAACTGGGACTGTACATTGGATTCCTGTTTTTCAGGCATGACTGTAGCTATAGTCATATATACAAAACAAAATTAAGGGGAGGTTACTGTATATACGAGAATCACAGCTCAGTGGGACAGGAATCATTCATAAAGTATTTAGAATTCAAAATGGAAAGTTTACCTATTATCATTTTTAAATTTCTAGAAATAAGTACTTCCCTGGCATGTAAGATGTAAATTTGACCATTCATGTGTAATAACTAACCCATCTATGACCCCTGGACTTCTAACGGGTTATCATTTAACCCTTTCACCATGTACTGTAGACCATAATGGACTCTTCCAAATTAATGTATGGTAGAGTTCACTCAAGTTACATAGGGGTGAAAGGGTTAAATAATCGACATCTCATTTGAAGTCAAAAAATTGTATTGCAATGTTTTTCTAACATTGATGACATAAAGTAATGTTTTAAGTTTTCTATACCCGTAAAGTGCTTGGCATTTGAAATTCAAAAACATCAACGAAGTATGTCAGTATTCAGTACCGTTATAATAAATGTGTCTGAAAGAAGATGATGTAAAAGATTTGTCAAATATTTTAACATGATCATCCCATTCCATCAGTAAATAGCGATATGTTTGCCGTTTGACTGTTTTTTTCTCCATCTGTAACTGGTGACCTATGACATGTAAGTAGATTTGCTCAGTAAAACTTCATTCATTTCCAGTATCCATTACATATCGCTCGGTCCTTATTTGTTATCTTTTCCATTTATGTTAAAATTTGATCTTTTGAAATTGGATATTTTCTTTTGCATTCAGTTACAATGTACCACGTACGCTGCTGGAGAAAATAATTGAATTTCGTTTATTTTGTGACAATTATTTGAGGAAATCCTAGTATAATAGTGTATAACAGTCCAATTATTATCAAATACCAAAAACTAATACCAAAAACTATCCTGATTGTTTTCTTAATGTGCTAGGAATAGCTTCATTACAAAATAAAGCCCTTTTTGTATTGTATATTTAGAAAGATATTGTATAAGGATTACTTTCATGTTGTGGTCAGTTTTTCGCATTGCGTTGTGGGAGTATGATAAGAATGGGTACTCCGTGTTGTTTTTGATGTGGTAGTCAGAAGCTTATATCTAGCTCTGTGATGAATAGATGTGTATATAGCAGGGGTTTATTGATAACTAAAATTGTATTTTCATAACAATGAAATGAGTTGCATGGATCATATATGAATGTTTCAAGCAGTGCTTGTATTACCTGTATTGTGACTTTGTATCATAAGTGCTATTTAATGCTGTATATTTTATATTTTCTACTTGTTCATACATTGACTCCTGTAGACCTTTCTAACTGTTGCCTCAAATGGAAAATCCTGAAAATTTTATACTGAGAGTATTATCTTGCCCCTGAAATTTCATAATGAACTATTCAAACCTTTGAATTGGAAGAGTTCAAATGTGTCTTCGAGGGTGATTGAGTTACTATGATCTAAGCCCTAGGAAATTAATTTAGAAGATAATTCCTCACCAGTAGATACAAAAGTGACTTCATTAAAAATAAAAAATTGAAAAAAATGATAAACAAGTTTAACTCTATTTTGATTCTAGCTTTGATAGCTCTTTAAAAGTTACTCTATATTTGTTTTATTTCATGTGATGTTTATTGGTTCCCTTGTGGCATTTCCTGAGGGAACCATAGATATGCACTCCATATCCGTCAGTTGGTGCATCACTTCATCAGGAGCTTATCACACATACCTTGCCCACTTCAAAAGCCAAAGTTTTTCTTGGGATGGCACAAATCAGGCTTTCTGTTTTCTATAGAAAGGGTTATGGCCCTGTTTGTTCACTTGACATCATATATATGTCTCGTGTTGTGTACAATTGTTAAATTTCTTGTTCCGGTTGTAAATTTCTTGTTCCGGTTGTACAATCTTCAAGTCATAAAATCTTATTTTTGTTTTAAATGATCTGAAGAAAAATTTAACAGACTTCATTAAAGCCAAATACTGTTTGCAATGTTTACATTTGAGTTTTTGATCGTTTGACATGATTTTAGTGAGTTACAAGGAAGTTGGTTTCAGTACATGATCCATGCTTAAGCATGAGAACAGATTAATGAATATGGGCCCAAGTCTCTTAGATTTGACCCTGTTTGTGCTTAGCTATGGCCTTTTGTTCAACGTGTATCACTTTGTGGAATATTTCAGATACTTTAATTGGCTTATAAAATTCGTTACTTGTGGTTGTGAGTACCTCTTTTGATGGCAGTGTGTCACATACAGAAAGCAGGTCTTGTGACGTCACTTTGTTTAAGATAATTGACCATTTGCTTATTTTTATCACAAGAGTATCTGCAGGGGAGGCGTTGATTGCAATATGTTGCATGCCTTGTTTTAGTGTGAAGCCACTTTAAGCGTTTACCACAAATTCAAGTACCACACAAACAAACTAACTTGTATATAGTCCTAGTAAATATATCATTTGTGCTATTTAATCCACATTTGCTCTGTTAATGACTAACGTTTTCTAAATTTATTTCTTTTTGGGTGATTTTGTGTCGGCTATTCAGATTCGTGTATGTGGTAAACATATCACTTTTTAAAGTAAAAAGAACACTTTGAGGTAAGCAAAATGAATTGTTTATTGATGCAGGTTTT